TAAAACTGCGCCCTTCGCACCAGAGCAAAGCCAGCCAAGTACTTTGTGCGAGCCTGCGCAGTCGAAATGCACATGGACATCTCACAAGGGCACTTTTGTGCGAGAATTTACAGTGGAAAAGCCGGAGGCCGGAGAGCGTACCCTGATCTAACCCCGGCCTTTTACGCTTACTGTAAGCACCCCTCAGTGTGGACACACTGTTTAGGGAAAAAGCGATTTAACCACACAAAACATTCGGATCTAAAAAGCATACGATAAAGACAACAACAGTGGTGATTGCAACACCTGATGAAAACTTGAGCTGTAATCCTCGAGAATTTGGATGTAGTGGGATAGGACATACCTCAATTCAGACCAATTAGCAATCTCCAGGGTTCACCCCCATTTTTGATGCTAACAACTACCCAGCAGGATAAAACATATACTTATCTTAGTGTTATATTACTTATATTCTTCATTGTTCTACTATAAAAAAATATATATATATATATTTCGGTTGAATTATGTTAAACTAAGTATATCATATCCCATATCATATCCCCAAGAATCCATGATCTCCCCATGCTCTGCGGACATCTCCTTCGTTGCATTGGGGAACTCCACGTTCTTCTTGATGTCAGTTCTGGAGACCATAGCAACCAGCAACCCGCTGGCCGTGACGATGGGCAGCTTTCCCTTCCTGAAGGCCAGGGCAGCACAGCGAGGCGGGGGATTTTCCGTGATTTTAGAATTTTAGCATGTTTATAGCTATAAACGATTCAATTACTTACATCCCCAAATACTGTTTTTTTTTCCGGTAGAATGTACCCTCCATGATGGGATATGGGAATGCGATGGGATATTCTATGTTGATGGAATATAGTTAAGACTAGGAATGATTGGGTTCGTCCGAAAATCAAAGATTTGTCCCAAATATAGGGCGATTTTGAAGGGTTGGTTGCTTAAAATGGGGCACATGTAGAACAATAGGTCAAGCATGGGTTGGTTTAAGGGAAACATACAGGAAACATGTTGGTTCTTATCACCAAATATGAGGGTTTTCACCCTATTTTTTCTTCCAACCAATTCTGGGGATAAAGGGTGGGGAAACCCATAAGCGTTTCCCCATATGGACTTCAAGCAATTCTCACTGGTCTCCATCCCTGAAGTTTCTATCTCCCAAATTTGAAGCACTGCAATTCACCATCTCCATGAATCGCGGTACCATTGTTGTTGGCTGAAACAATCCAACAAAAGTTAGCTAAGTGGTCGCTGTTTGACGCATGTCATGTCATCCATCCAAAACATCCAGTGGACATCCAAGAATCTTGGAGCTCTGCAACTTCTCGTTGCATTTCAGCAGGTCGCAACCCTCCAGTTCAACCACCAAATCCTCCCAAGGGATGTTTTTTTAGTGCTAGATGTGCGGGGAACCGAAATTCAAGATGGAATCCGAAAAGTGGAAACTGGGTGGAGGTGGCATTTGTTGGGTTCGTTTTGCTAGGTTTTGGACATGTATGTCATCATGTAAGTAGTGGGATATACCAACTTGACGTCAATGATAGATATCTGATTGGGTTGTAATTAATGGTATATATTAATTTATATTCCCCATATTTGCAAACAGGTTCCTTAAACTGACAACTCCTGGGATTCACCACATTTGCCGATTTCGGGCTTTCCGTGAAGTTCAACTAGCGTCAGTTACCATCCCTGCAAAATGGTCTCCACTCACGGTGGATTCTCGGCTCTTCATGTCAATCTAGTGTATTTCTACTTGGGAGTGCAGTTCCAATGAACTATAATCAATTATCATCAATTATCATGAATTGTCATAAACGATCATCAATTATCATCAATTGTCATCAATTATCATCAATCATCATCAATTATCATCAATTAGCATCAATGATCATCAATTATCATCAAATATCATCAATAGTCATCAATTATCATCAACTATCATTAATTATCATCAATCATCATCAATTATCATCAATTATCATCAATTATCATCAACTGTCTTCAATTATCATCAATTATCATCAACAGTCGTCAATTATCATCAACTATCATCAATTATCATCAATTATCATCAATTAGCATCAATGATCATCAATTATCATCACTTATCGTCAATTATCATCAATTATCATCAACTATCATCAATAGTCATCAATTATAAATTATCATCAACTATCATCAATTATCGTCAATTATCATCAATTATCATCAACTATCATCAATAGTCATCAATTATAAATTATCATCAATGATCACCAACTATCATCAATTATCATCAATTATCATCAATTATCATCAATTATCATCAAATATCATCAATAGTCATCAATTATCATCAACTATCATTAATTATCATCAATCATCATCAATTATCATCAATTATCATCAATTATCATCAACTGTCTTCAATTATCATCAATTATCATCAACAGTCGTCAATTATCATCAACTATCATCCATTGTCATCAATTATCATCAATTATCATCAATTATCAACAATTATCATCAACTATCATCAACTATTTTCATTTATCATCAATTATCATCAAATATCATCAATTATCATCAACTATCATCAACTATCATCAACTATCATCAACTATCATCAATTATCATCAATGACCATCTATTATCATCAATTATCATCAATTATCATCAATTATCATCAACTATCAACAATTATCATCAATGATCATCAATTATCATCAAATATCATCAATAGTCATCAATTATCATCAACTATCATTAATTATCATCAATCATCATCAATTATCATCAATTATCATCAATTATCATCAACTGTCTTCAATTATCATCAATTATCATCAACAGTCGTCAATTATCATCAACTATCATCCATTGTCATCAATTATCATCAATTATCATCAATTATCAACAATTACATCAATTATCATCAACTATCATCAATTATCCACAGGTTATAGATGACCCATACATTCCAACTTATGAGAGATAAGATCCCATGGCTATACCACGGTGATACTGTAGCCATGAAAATCACCGTCCTACACCTGTTGGCCCTCTCCTTCACAGGCGTCATGATGGCACTCAGGCGTGTCTTGCGGTCCTGTCCACTGAGTCTGGGAGTCGGGGAAACTACTTTCATACAAAATGCTGAGTATATAGTTGGGATATGTTGGGATCTATGTTAAATCAGGATAAATTGCGGGATGATACCATGAGCGTTTTAGACTTTGGAGGATTTACCAATTGGATGCTGGTGTTTTAATGCAAACCTGTCAATTGTGGCTCTGACACCTAATTATTGAAACTGATTTCATATTCCTCATATGTTCTTGAGGGTAGGATGCGAGGGGCCGGGCCAACCCAACATTGGGTTGGTTTTTCTGTAAGTATCTGTAAGTATCTGTAAGTAGTTGATTGAGACAGTATCCCAAAGTTGTTTGCTTGGTAACTATCCAATTTGTTTTGATTTGTTTTGATATCGGTTGGATGGTTGACTTCTTGATTGTTTTCCAGACTTTGTCCAATTTAATGATCTGCCCCAAGGCTCCCTTTCCCCCACCACCGCTGTCTGAACAAAACAGTAGCATTTGGCCAACCTGAAGGATGTGCCACTTGGGCGTGCACCTACTTACTGTATGTCTTGCTCGGGTTTAGTGGTCCCTTTCTATTTAACAATTCATCGCAAGTCCGCACGTTCCTGAAGCACCTGGGTTAGAGCTGCATCCCGCTGCATATGCACTGTCTTCATATGTTTCAATTCCCATTGTGTCTGAGATATCTATCTCAATCTTTGAGACATCCATGAAACCTTTCCTCAACGTCTGATGTCTGACGTCACCTGCATTTGAAACGAAAGAGCAGCAACATGGCTGGCATCACGAAAAATTGAAGAAATGCCAGGTTCTGTCTGATGCCAATATCTACATCTCCCTATAAAAGATGCTTAAAGTAACAAGCTGTGCCTATCGTAAAACGCACTTTCTGTTGCTTAAATCCGCATTTTGGTTGCTTATAACGCTTATCAACTCACGGTTCTTGCCGAAAAAAACACCAAAAACCCCAGCATTCTTCGTTGCTTCCATCCCCAGTTTCCCTTGAAATCCACCCAACAAGTCCCCCAAAACGGGCGCCATGGTCGCCTCAACGAAGTCGCAGTCCCGCTTGGTGACCAGGCCCAGGAGCTTGGCGCCCATGCGGCCACTCTCCTGGCTGGTTATGTCAAAATAGCTATTGAACATGGCCCATTTATAGTGGATTTACCCATTGAAAATGGTGGTTTTCGATAGTTATGTTAGTTTACCTGAGGGTAAGAAAATTACTTCACTTCGAATGATCCCCACCATGGCATATATAGCTACATACTCCACAGCTCTGGAAAGAAATATTTAAATACGCAACCTGACCGAAGGACACCAAAGAGCAGCATCAATTTGTTACTGGCAAACCTTCTGGCATTCTATCTGACATACATTCTGGCATTTTATCTGGCATATCTTCTGGCATTCTAGCTGGCATATCTTCTGACATTCTGTCTGGCATATCTTCTGACATTCTTTCTGACATTCTTTCTGGCATTCTATCTGGCATATCTTCTGACATTCTATCTGACATCTTTTCTGACATTCTTCCCGTTGAGGTCCGGCAGTGCCCACTGTGATCTGGAAGTCGCGGTTGAGGTCCGGGGAAGTCGCGGTTGAGGTCCGGCAGTGCCCACTGCGATCTGGAAGTCGCGGTTGAGGTCCGGCAGTGCCCGCTGCAACCTGGAAGTCGCGGTTGAGGTCCGGCAGTGCCCACTGGGATCTGGAGCTCGCGGTGGAGGTCCGGCAGGGGCCGCTGGGATCTGGCGCTCGCGGTGGAGGTCCGGCAGTGCCCACTGCGATCTGGAAGTCGCGGTTGGGATCTGGACTGCGAGGAGGAGGAGGCGGACTGCGATCTGGAAGTCGCGGTTGGGATCTGGACTGCGAGGAGGAGGAGGCGGAGGAGATGGAGGAGGAGGATGCGGAGGCGGAGGAGGAGAACAGCTCTGATAAAATCTAACAACCCTCACCTGGCAGGTGGGGAAATATGGGAAAATATGGAGAACAGATTGATTTTGTTGATTTATATACAGAAAGTTAAGTTGAGAACGAGATGGAGTTTTCATCCTGTAAAGAAACAAACACGTTTGGGATTTCATCAATTGGATCATGGATAATAATGTGGTAAACTGCCACTCTGACTCCAATCTAGGAAGGTTTAAATCATCCATGTCTGGTCGCTGAGGATTGCGTGTTCTTGACTCCGTTGACCGATGGGAGAATTTTTCGTGCTGGCTGCAGCAACAAGAACAGGACTTGTGGATGGCTATCACTGGTTGGTTCATCGGGATTCCAACCTATATCGCGTAGGATCCATGGTGCTGGTATATTAATGCTAACATGACTGGGGTATATTGATGGTAAATGTTACCATATATATATATAGCATACATGGATCCTATGGGTATATATACACATACATACAAATGTCTGTGCAATATATTTCGAAACCATATAACTAAAACGATGCTTTTACCTAGCCGTCTCCATGGTTAACAGTTCTTAGCCCCGATCACCAAGGTGCAGTGACTGGAAAGCCGGTGAAACCCAAACGGTTCTTCAACCTTGGCGGTTGTTGGGTATAGGAGCCCACATGTTCCTAAGAATTTGCTTGGAAAAAATCTAAGTCAACGGATTGGTTGGAGATAAAATTTGCAGGCAAGCCTGTTTCTTAGCAGCCAATATTGGGTTTTCCTAGAGATTTGTCCTAGACAGAATTCTGGGACCAAGTCTCTGCTAGTTAAGTCCTGTGAAATCCTTCTGTTTGTTTTATTATCCGTTTTGGACCCAGAGTTTACCTGACAGAAAAAAATGGATTTGACCAACAAAAAACACTGACTTCTCTGTCTGAAATAGGGTACGCCAAATCCCATGGTTTGTCATCATTCTCTCCACTTGGAGGTCTACCATATTTTCAGACACACCCACATTTCACCCACGGAAGCAGGAATTTCACCATGAAACCTATGACTTTATCCAAGAATCTGAGGACCACAATACACATTGGAACATTGGAATCGTTTCTCAGTCCACCTGAATGCAACATATACCTTGCCTATCCTTGTCTTTTCTACTTCGGCCAGCTTCGGCAAACATGCTGCCCCACTGCGCAGTTGGTCTTCGCTCGTTTTCCAACATTTTTCCTCTGTGAGCTCGACTGCTGCGCCGCTTCACGGCAGGTATTGCTCAAAGAACTGCATGCAATAAATTCACAAGTGTAATGAGGAAAAGGATCCTCCCAATGTGCTGAACAACACGCTCTTGAGGCAGGCATTCAGCAGCCACAGAAGTGTGAGTTGGAAAGCGGTTTGCCATGCGGCGGCAAGTGCGCTCACGCTGGGTATAATGTTAACCCCGGATTAATAGACCATGGTTTATTAATTAGGGGGGTATTCCCTCAATAGTCATGATTTGATACTTAAATGGTACCTTCCCAATTATACCTACATTAGGGTTATTTGGATGTCTTTGGGGGGAAACGCCCATAACTGATTGTAAATGTAGGATGCTTGGAGCACCTAGTTCGCACGATTCTTCACCCAAAAATGGAAACACAAGAGCGAAACATGACAAACATGTGGTGTCCCTCACATATACAAATCCAGATTTTTTGACTCATAGCCATCTTAATCTTTCTCCCAAGTCTGGATCTTTTGCCACTCTATTCATGGCAACCTTAGACGGCCCACAAGTTTTGTTTCTACAGGATTACAGGAGAAGCCTCGATTGAACATGGCCAAAGATGAATTATGGATCGGTGTACCCTGCATGAATCAATGAATCATCACGAATCTTGCGAATATCATTAATATCATATGTATCATATTTTCCCTATTCATATGTCTATTTGACGGACATAACCCACTTCAGTCACAGCTAAAACAAATCTATATAGTAATATTTCCAAGCCTCACCGCCTCACCGTGGATTCTAGCAAGGCTAGCTGCGAGGTCATGGTTAATGATATCTATCCCCTGGTAATCAAACGAGGCTGGGACATTCCCTGGAGGCTAGCTGGAAAAATCATCGAACTATAACTAAATGTGTTTTTCCTCCAAATCCTGTTGCAGTTGGTAGTTCATATCTGACGATATCTCCGGTTTTATGCGCAATATCAGTGGCATCTGGAGGTGGTTTCACCACAGACTCCTACAGCAATTTTCTGACATCCATCATTCTGCCATAGGATTCTTCCGACCAATGGCCAAACAGATTTGCTGCTGCATATCTGGGAGCTTAGTGCCTTCGGCTATGTGTAGAGTTGATCCCTCTGGTGACATCAAAGAGACTTCCAGTACCCTCTGGTAAACGCTTACAAAAAACTATGGAAAATCACCATTTTTCATGGGTAAATCCTGGAAAATCACCATTTTCCATGGGTAAATCCACTATTTCTATGGCCATTTTCCATAGCTTTTTAACGTTTACCAGAGGCTACAGCATGTCAATTGGACTCTGATGAAACCCTTGGTTCAACAGAGGTCATGGGCGAGCACACTTCGAGGACACGTTCATCCTGGTGAATATCTGGTTGGTGCTTTATATACTGTTAATACTGGTGAATGATGGTTAATATATGGTTAATGTATGGATATTATATGGTTAATAATAATAATAATAATAATAATCTGGTTGGTGGTTTTAACCATACTGGTTAATATACTGTTCATAATGGTTAATATTAATGGTTATTATATGGTTAATGATCATAATAATCTGGTTGGTGATTTTAACCATACTGGTTAATATACTGTTCATAATGGTTAATATTAATGGTTATTATATGGTTAATGATGGTTAATAATAATCTGGTTGGTGGTGCCATAACCATCTTGAAAAATATGAGTTCGTCAATGGGAAGGATGACGTCCCATATATAAAATGGAAAATAAAACATGTTTGAAACCACCAACCAGATATTGTGAATTGGATCAAATTGGATCCAACACCTTTGCAACAAGTGAAGTTTCTAGCCCTTGGGAGCAAGCTCAGAGTTGTCCAGCATACTATGGGGAATATATAGGTGAAGAAAGACTTGCTCCAACCAAACATGCCGCAACTTGCTCTGCACTTCAAGGTTCTCCTCCAGAATAACCAATTCGGATACTAACGTAATGAGTGGTGAACAAGTTTTTGAACATTTGTTGGTCCCACGTTTTTCTCCTTGCAACGACTATCTCAATGTCGGGAGGCGGGTAACATATCGTTTCCTGGTTGCATCACCGTTGTAATTGGTCTATGCCCATTCCACTGGTTACATGGTTGTAGCTTACGTATCCCCGCAGCATTGCTGACGAAAAATTCCTGCAGGCAGCGCTACTCATCCATAGGCGGCAATTATATTGAATCCCTACTTGCTATCCAGCTGTAGGTAGGTTATACCCTCTGGTAAACTAACATAGCTATGGAAAATTGCCATTTATAATGAGTTTTCCCATTAAAAAAATGGTGATTTTCCATAGTTATTTGTATGTTTACCAGAGGGTAACTGGTTATAACTCAAGTACTTGGCTTCACCTACACGACTTACCAACTCTGGGGATGATTTCATGATTCGGTCAGAACGTGAGATTTTGATGATTTTTTTGCTCAGATATACTACCAGTAATCCATAAGAATTCATAATCATCCATAGTAATGGCATGATAACATATAATATACTATAGTCATCTATCTATAGTCCATAATTATGGCATAATCATCCATAATTATTCATAGGAACCCATAATTCTAGTACTGATAGACCATCCAAGCTCCACCAAGCGACTCGTCGAGCTCCTCCAAGGTCATGGTCGGCGGCACGCAGACCTCAGCGTCGGGGCAGGGTGGGCCTGCGTCCATCACCGAAAAGGGCTGGGGTCAGAATGAGGATTCTACATGTTTGCATGATGGTGATTCATGTAGATGTTAAGGAATGTAGAATTTACATGGATTAGATTGTTTCCATCAATTAGGACCAGGATTCTACATGTTTGCATTACAAACGGTTGGCTGCATGATGATGTTACACGCACATGTCATGCACGTGTGATGCACATGCCATTGACATGCTTGCATGAATCCTTCCCAACGACCTTGACCTTAATGCTTCTCCTCACAATGAAGTCTAGCTTGTCCACGGCGCTCAAAACGCCACATTGTTCTCACCATGTGATTCAACGAATTGCCAGGAATGGGATGTGACCATGGCACTTATGTAGCCAACCATGCGGCTTAATCCTCATGGGAGTTCAAATGGATGATCAATGGCTTCACATTGGGATAAAAATGGGTACTGTAATATACTGTAATAATAAGAAGTGCTAATTGCTGATAATAATCTATGATTATAAGGGATTATTGACGGATGATCTATATATTGTATATATATTTATATCTTTAATAGATGCTTGATTATTATAGGTTGGCATATTGATGCAACTTGCATAATCCGGTTTCAAACATAACAACGAAAAACTAAGTGACTTCATCAACTCCTCAACTGCGGCTGTGTCTTTTAATGGTGCTTGCCCCCAAATGGCCATCATAACAATAGGATTTGGGGGTACCCACTTTTCAAACAAACCCATAGGCCATGGTGATACAGTGACACATGGCGACTTAATCAACTTGACCGTCAACAGACAACAGCAATTTAATTCATCAGCAAAAATGGAGACTCAATCAAAATGTATGGGGGCTAACAACCTCATTGGAAGGAAACTCCGGTTTTTGACAATGTTCAGGCGGCGTCAACCCAGTGAAGTTTCCCTTTATCCAATTTGGGGACATCAGCATCCATGTAATTGTATTAAATTTCACGAGCTCCTGGGATTTTGCGATTTTTAGGGAATATTGGATATCAAGGTCAAGATGCAACATTTGGTGCAGTGTACGTGCACAAGGGTCGGACGAAAAAACTTAAGCGTCATGGTTTGCACGGGTTTGCGCTGGATCAGCCTTCCATAAATGGATTTGGTCCAATTAATCGTTTTTTTTTGAAGGTCCAAAGGTGTCCAAGGGGAAACGGTTGGAAACAGTCGGAGATCGCCGTGCAAACCATGACGCTTAAGTTTTTTCGTGCGACCCTTGTGCGCGTACACTGCACCAAATATTGCATCTTGACCTTGATATCCAATATTCCCTAAAAATCGCAAAACCCCAGGAGCTCGTGAAATTTGATATGTAATTGTAATGTAAATTTAGAGGATGATGACCTGAAGAGTGGAAAATTCATATGGATCATGTCTCTCTATGTATCTGAAATGGGCCTAAGTATACCCCAATTATGACCATAATATGGCCATAAATATGGCATATGATTTCCACTTGAAGCAGAAAAATCATCGATTCACCACTGGGATCTATATATAGGTGCCACTTGCACAGCTAATGGCAGATCTACGTCCCAGGATTCGGTGCATGATGATGTGACACACACATATATATATGTTAAGATATCATATATTGGATCATAAACATAGTATGATGTAATGTAATATAATGACTGGTTGGTGGTATACCTACCCCTCTGAAAAATATGAGTTCGTCAGTTGGGATTATGACATTCCCAATATAATATGGAAAAATAAAAAATGTTCCAAACCACCAACAAGATGATATCATATGGATACATATGGTAGGATAGAATGTAATGTGCTAGAATGCAACAAAACAACATTCAACGTTGATAATACATGCAATGTAGCATACATAACATAAACCATATCATGAACTATTAGAATATGAGGCAATGACAATTATCGTACAACATATTTAATCAAATAATATGGGAGGTTTCCTGAAATAGGGGTACCATGGAATACCCCCAAATCATCCATTTTAATGGGAGTTTCCATGAAATAAACCAACCAGCTATTGGATACCCCCCATGTTTTCGGACGCCACCCATCTGGAGCTTTCCGTTTTGTCATGGGGTACGTACCCCCAGGATGGGATTCCCCAAACTCCAACCGAGTCGCCGGATCCAAAATAAAGCCGGCCTGTTTTCACAGATCGGCGACCAGTTCGTTGTTTTACACCCAGAGATGGCCTTTTTTTTTGGATGTCGGACATACCATTTTATTTCACGTGGTTAATGCTTAATAGTGGTGAATGATGGTTAATCATTGGTGTATAATCACTGGCCATGACGAACTGGAATCGATTCATTGGAGGTACCGATTCCATTTTTTAAGGCCTATTTTTTAGGCCTATGTTTCAGGGACTATCCCCAGAGAATATGGCCTGAAAAATGGTACTAACGTACCTCCATTTTAGGATGCTGGAATTCCCATTGATTTAATGACATAATTACAAAATGGATAACTAACCAATGGATATATGGACAATGAACATAGTGGATAATTAAGCAATAGATCTATGGATCATATTGGATAGGTGTGAATAGTTGCGGAATGTTGCGGATAATTGTCGCCATTAGGGAACATGATGATTAAGCAATGGATAATTATGGTTACCTTATCGTTGGTTCGTGGTACCGTGTTGCAGAGTCTGCTCCCTGGCCCTGCATATTGGATGGGGATTTCCTTGAGTGGATACCACGACGTAGAAAAGGGGGTGTACCGTGGTCAACTAAGTTTACGGGGTGTTTAGTTGAAACCCACATGATCATGTCGAAGTTTTTGACCATATCTTACTTCCACAAATAGTGTTTCAGTACTTTGCCGTACCAACCATGTTCAACTGAATGAAAAGTCAAAAAATGCTCCCTCGGGTACGGTGATTTACTGTACTGTAGTGCTCAATGTTCAATACACAACTGCCATGATTCGTGTTGGCAAAATCCTCGTTTCTACCAGTTTCGATCCCACGGATGATCCATCCACTTCAAACATCCGGAAAAGAGGCACTTATTGAACCTATCCAATTTTTCACCATTGAATCCCAATGAACCCCCCCTGCCATCACCAAGTTTCACATGATTTTTACATATTTTTACTAGGTACCCTCTGGTAAACGTTTACATAACTATGGAAAATCACCATGTTCAATGGGTAAATCCACTATTTCAGTGGGCCATCACTTCAAGTTCGCAAAGTCTTCGTCAAAACCAGGCCGGACCAATCCGGGTCAATCCCCATGGAATCCCAGAATCTCCACCTTCCGCGGCCCTGGCGGCCTTGTATTTCTTCACCCTCTGCACTTCCGCAGCTTGTGCTTCCACCGAAAGGTTCGTGTGGATCACCCCGATTCCACCTGGCCCAAAAGGCGTCTTGGTGCTGCAATAATTAACCATCTTGAAAAATCATGGAGTGAAAGTCACTTGGGATGATATTTGATGTTCCAAACCACCAACCATTTTTTGGATGTGTTGACACCTATTCTACCATATTCTACCATGTTGTGCAGGGATGAAGCCCATTTATGAGCTGTTGTGTTTACCCGGGTACTGGGGTTTCGACCTACAGCTTCTGGTTCCAAAACCCGGCATCACTGGAGTGAAGATCAATGACCAGAATGGTTTTGTGGGAGTTCACTGAACGCATTTGGCGTAGTAATTTTGTCGCAACCCTAAATTTCAGGCAGACAAAACACTAAAAGATCTCGGTATTTCGATGTGCTTCCTTCAATTTCAGAAACTCCCAGCTGATCAAAGTTGCCATCCCCACATTAAAACCCTATTAATTAATATTATCCAACTAATTATCCAACAGCGTTACCAACAGCTCCACTATTCATGCCATCGCCACTCACAACCCGCCTTCCAAAGCCATTGCGATGGCCATATTGGACTCGGTCACCGTATCCATGGGACTGGACACAATGGGCGTCTTCAAATGGATCTTCTTGCTGAAGCGACTTGACAGGTTCACATCCTGAATGCTGAGGTTTGGGTGAGAATGGTGAGATGGAACTGATGGAACTGCAGGGATAATGAAATAATATATATATATATTATATATTATATATATATATATGAATTTTCATGACAATGGGAATTTAAGCCCCATCAGTGGGGAATAGTTGGGATATGGGGAAAATAGATAAAATAGAACTATGGCCATTGTTCGGGGGCTGGTCCAACTCCATTCTTAGGAATTCCATGGCCATAATGGGTATATCAATGTACATCAATCCCTATGAAAATGCATTGATGACCATATATTTCAACTTTTGACGTGCTGGCAGGTATGATGAAAGTATCTTCCCAAGTTCATTCTGGTTGCGTAAGCGTAGCCAGATTTTGTAGTCACATTTCAAAAACCTTTCCCAAAACCCAAATTGGGTGTCTGCAAAACCTGAAACATGCCATTTGAACACTCCACGGTAAAACATGGTAAACCCACATACCCATGCTGTAGAGAATTGGATCCTTGGGGTCTTAAAACATCCGATCGGATAACAAGTGGACATAGCATGCATCATCGTTTAAGTAAATGTACATGTATTTACACATCTTGAACAGCGTAACTTGACCTGAAACAATTCAAAACATGTGAAACTGTAGGACATCATTCAGTATGAATGCATATCCATGTTCCAGACGACATGTTCCTAGGAAAACAAAGGCATGCCGCAAAATCACAAGCTTGTGGTGAAATCCTGTAGGTATTTCCAGGCACCCCAACATCTCCGTTGCGTCTCTTACATAAGTTGAAGCCTCCCAAAAGACCATCCCTTGAAACTGAGTCCTACAGAAAGACAAATCGGTGCTCGCGATGCCCCATAAATCACGAAACAACTGGGTGAGCTAAGATTGGTAAAATGAAACCCTTACGATGCCTCGAAGAATGTGTGAGTTGGAAGAAAACTGAGAAAGATGCCAAGATATGCCAAGATATCATCCTGCATATCACTGCCAGTCTGTCCATCTATACACTGTATCTATCGATCTGTTGGTCCACGTAGAAAGCCAAGCCAATTTGATCCGATCCAATACACCAGGGCTTCACATATATGCCACGTGGTTGAGGCCGTATTGCTGGCTGCTTGGATGCTACAAACTTATTGCAGCTTGGGGTGGTTTTGGCGAATAATAACCAGCAAAGAGGGTCATCCTTAGCTGGACGTGACATGCGCTATTTAGTGTTTACATCATGAGCTTTGTTGGTACATCCCATGATTCGTGGTAGGTTAAATATGCAAAACAACGTTGCTGGTTCAACTCATCTACCACTGGCTTAACCATATCTACATGCTGATACTCAACCCGCCATCTTTGCGGATTACTGTACATCTCTCTTTTGCAGGTTATGCCAGCTATGTCCGCACATGACTCAACCACTCGGTTCAACCATTGACGATCAAAACATAAATCCATTTGATGGTAACCGATTGATGACCATCAGGTATACCCTCTGGTAAACTAACATAGCTATTGAAAATGGTCATTTATAGTGGATTTACCCATTGAAAATGGTGATGTTCCATAGTTATGTTAGTTTACCAGAGGGTATCTAATGCCTTGACAGTTGAAATTCACATTTTTGTCGGTGAACATCATTGATTGTGAATATCCACACTACCCAATCCATGGCTAGTCTTGGAGACCCGAGAACAAACAAATAACGAAGAACAGTGTTTTGCCGAACATAGATGCGCATTTGGAGCTTTCATCAAATGGGGGAAATTATCTGAACCAAATTTGGTGTTCCTCTTTCAAAGAAAAACTATGCTTGAATGATTCTTGAATGATTCTTGGGTCCACCATCTTTAAGAACCACCCACCCATGATCTCCCCTGCTTCCTCCCCAGCTCCGCCGAGCATCGTGGACTCCGAAGTTGATATGCCCAGGCAAGCAGATCAAGTCATCGTAGGTGTAGCCACTCCTCGCGTTTCGTGATTTGTTTTCGCATGGGAAGATGGCTGACCGGCGGCTGACCCTGATTTTTTTTGTGGTGGGGGTACCCCCAAAGGTTCAAGAGTTTTATATGGACCCTCTGAGGATGATGGTATATTTGTCCATCTTTTTGGGGAATTGATATAGTCGAAATACATCGAAATACTGGAATGAAGCCGATGCGAAACTTCGTGCAATTCCATGTAATTCCGAAACATGATGGGCTAAAATTGGGTACCTCAGAATGGCATGGTCTACTGCTGAACAAGGTGTGGTCCACGTCGAAGCCAAGGAGCATCGAGGTGCTGGATCCAAAGATGTCATCGGCAGAAAATCCATCCTCGGAAAGCAGTGCCTCAATGAGACCTTTCACTGCTGCTACAATGGGTACGTTCCAATAAGATGTGAGCATCCAAAATTGAGTGCTTGATATAGGAATTCCGGTACTGGATGATACTGTAATAATAAATAATAATAATCTAAAACACTTAGTGAAAAACCATGTATAAGCATCAACCAAAATACGTTTCGGGCATTGCTCTAAAACGTGACAAGGAGACATATCAACACGAGCTTGGGCAATCGATGGCAATCGCATGCATTGCTGCCCAATTTATTGTGGGTAAGTCAGTGAGATCCCTCATCTACCCGTCATACCCAAAGGTCTGTTTCCCCATTCGAAATCACAAATAAACTGGATAATGACTTGGGACACTCGATTTTGGGAATCCCCAAGATATAATATGGTTGGCTAGATGTATCAAGTTCTATCTACAGAAAGTTATAGTTATATCCCTAAACAAATGCCAAAGATATTCCTGCTGGGCAGAATATCCACTATTAATTGGTGAATTACATCCCCTTTCATATCCCATAAATCAGCAATCTTTCATGACTATAGTTTGTTGGTGGTTTTAACCCCTCTGAAAAATCTGAAAGTCAGTTAGGATTATGGGAACATAAAAGCCATGTTGCAAACCACCAACCAGCATGGTAACCCTCCCCATTATGATCATCGAAGGATCTTGTAGGTCCTTTTCTGTGAGCTTCGAAGGATCAACTTTCCTTTGTCGGGCACGGCGCGGTCCCATCCCAAAAGATGAGGGTCTCAAACTAGCGAACACCCTCTGGTAAACTAACATAACTATGGAACATCACCATTTTTCATAGATAAATCAACGAACTCTCTGTGGTCATTTTCAATAACTTTTTCTAAGTTTATCAGAGGCTATCTGGGAAGATCAGAACGGTGATCTTCATAGGGGGTGCTCTTTTCCGGGGTATACCGTATGCGTCGACCAAAAACATGGGGAATCACTCCAACAAAATGGTCATTCAAGCCACAAGCACAGGGATTTATATAAATAAACACCAAATTTCGGATTTCAAGAAGAAGATGGGCTCATCACAAGCAACACAAACAACATAAGCCGGCCACACTGCTGACATGGATTTACCCTGGTGAGAAACATGTTTCCATGGTAGCGGAACAACAGATCACAGCAATCTTATAGCACATACGCAAGTTGCTTGTTTGCCTCAGAAATCATCCAAAAAACTCATGGATTATTGCTAGTTTGCACAGCCAAATGTGGCGTTTTCACCATTCCTTTTTGGGAAAACATAGACAGGTCTGGTATACCATTTCTTCAACTAAGCAAAAATTAATGGTTATGTTCACCATGAGGTTTTCATTGAAAATCCCATATTTATAATCAAAATGTATATATATATATATTATATATATATAGATATATATTATACCCATTGATATAATACCATATTTATAATCCCATATATTTAATGGTTATACTAATCCCAGATTTATGGTTATAAACCATATCATACTAATATTAGTATATATTTAGTACCCATATATATAATCCCATATAATTTCATGATTAATATATATATATATTTGATAGTTCATAAACCCACTTAATCCCATCCCTCTAAGCACGCCTTGAATGTTCCTGGTGAACTCTATTGGATCGATCTAGGGCGACCCATGTTGGGGCTGTAAAAAAACCTGGATTTGAAGGGACCCACACAAAAACCATAAAACCATCTAAAATCCATATATTTAGCCTATGGTTTTATGGTTTTACATGGTTTTACATGGTTTTATATGATTATATGGACATAAATCCCATTTAGCCGATGCCTATTTCCAAATAGATCAATTTCCCAAGTAGTATATATATATATATGTCCTATTGGAAAAAAAGTCACCGTCTCAGCAAGTACGCCAAGTGACAACTCTTTTTTGGGCGATCGGCTCCGGTCCTTTTCCATGTGTAAAGCTGGTGCCCCCGGCCCTGTATGTTGCGTTAGTCCAGTCAAAATTTTGTTGAACTAACCCACCAAGTGGGGTGAACCAGCAAGTAGTCATTATAAGAATTCAATTGCTATGTTTCATGGGATGCAACCAAGAAAATATTGGGATCTTGATTTGGAGGATATTTCAGGAGATAAATGATATACCCTCTGGTTATTTAACATAGCCATGGAAAATCACCATTTTTAATAGGTAAACCCAGGTAAACCATCTATAAATGGGACATTTTCCATGGCTATGTTAAATAACCAGAGGGTAAATAATAACCAATGACATGATCTTCGGCCGTGTCTGAAATGGAGCCCCTTTAAATCAGGGATACCAACCGCGTCCTTGCTGCCGTTGGTTGCTGCAGCCATGGTTCTCGAACGGTGGCGAGAGCGGCTTTCCCAGGGAGCCAACCTGTGCTTGCGGCGGGCTCCTGTGCTCAGCACGCCATATATCTATGGTTTGTTGAGTGAAGCCCAACAGGCTTGGGATTTGAGAGCTTGAAAAAGGTCTTAGACATATAAGTATCAAACAACTTAATTACCACACTTGTTACTCACATCACATCTAGTAGATCTGTCAACTTTGTCCAACTTCGGTTGACAAAATTAATCAACAACATGTTATGGCAAAGCAACAGTGAGGAAGTAGGTCTAGATGCAATTGATCATACTTATCCACTGAGACCATCTGACAATCCAATGGTATCAGCTTTTAAAACATGTTCCAATAGTCACTTGATCATTAATGTCAACCCTGGATTAATCAACCCCAAACGGCGGTTTAATTGAGGGTGTACCATTGAAGTATCAAATGATCACTATTTGGGGAGTACCCCACAATTAATAAACCGAGGTCCAAGGTCTATTAATCCGGGGTTGACATTAAACTGCAAGCTCCAACTGACCTTCCAGAGCCATCCTTTCAAACGCATCAAATCTGACTGTCCAGGATGATGACATGGCTAGGAAGGCCAAGTCCATCCATTTTTGAAGCCTCAAATAATGAGGGAAACCCTATTAGAACCCACCATATCCCCAAAATGTCCAATACTTTTCCAGGATGTGTTACATGATGTGATCGCATCACTTCCAGATGTCCTACTTCTACCTAGACTCTCCAAGTACCCATAAAATTGTTATTTCCCACATACTGTATATAACTATCACAATTTTATTAGTTTTACCATGTTTCTTGGTACTTGGAGAGTCTAGGATATCAGAGGTTCAAATGAAATGCAGCTCATCTACCAACTTTCCAATGCCACAGCGGATAGGCTTCGCTCGTCTTTTCCACAACGCTCAGTTGCGGTGGGGACCATCCCTCGGTACTGGTCACTGGTGCGGGTCGCGGTCGCACAAATCTCTGTTCGGTCCGTTTGGTGAAATCTACCGCCCAGATGCTGTGCCATACGGCCACGTTATCATGTCATGTGTGGAATCTGTGGATCACGATTTCTTTCTTGGGCTCTGCAACCGGGGTATTATCCGTGCTCTACTCACAATCTGCTGAAGAAAGGTGAGGGGATGGCCACATTGCGGCCATCCACCCACCCAGGAAGCGAATTTCAGACATTTTGGACTCACTTGATTTTGTAGCAACGGGCCGGTCGAGAGCAGGTTTGGCATTTGCTTGGTGGAACAAGAATGGGCCTGGGTTAAAACAGGTAAGTGCGGCTCACTTAACCGACTTAACCCAAACCAACCAGTGAAGCCTGATTGTGGCAATGTATTCCAATTGATCCCGAGAATTAGCCCTTGTTTTTGAATGGCAATTACTTTTATTACTTCTTGAATTATACTGTATATATATACATATTATATATATAATTGCAACAGATACACATACACCTCCAAATTTTGTTGGAACCCATGCGAAAATCATCGAACATCTCCAGGCAAGCCTTCGCACAAACATGCTCTCGCCAAACAGCCCGTTCTACCAGCCGAAAGCTACAACGGTTGGTGCTTCCAATTCCAAGTGTGTATAGAATACAAATATGAATGATTATTAATGCACAGATATGCTTAGTCCAAATTTCAGCTCCATGGTGTCAAAGCACCAACTAGTCTACCGTTGAGACTTTGAGGATCAATTGGGTTTGGGTCGAAATTCGACGCGGCAACAGCGTCATTGGTGGCAACACATCATCACTAAAGCGGTTCATCTATCAGTATCAAGTATGAAATAGTCTGAATTATCATTGATTTTTGATCCTTACAACAATAGTCATGCAATGTCATGCATATATTTCCAGGGTTTTTGACCCATCCCCGATTGTAGGATCAATTTGGATATTTGAGACTTTGAGATTCAGTGGCAGCAATCGGAGAAACTCCTGCTAGGCTATCGCAGGCTTTTCCGAATCAATCTCAACCGTGTTGATGCTGAAATATCTGTAAACACATGATAAACACATGATAAACCAATCACCATATGATCCCTTGTTGATGGTCAAATCACCACTCAACGGTGAAATCCGCATCAACATTGGCGATTTAAATGAACAAATCATCTATACCTGGATTTGTTTAATATTTCAATGGGAATTTCAGGATCCTAAAATGGAGGTACTGTACCATATAAGGCCATATTTCGTGGTGATATTCACTTACATAGGCCATATATAGGCCTTATATATGGTAGGTACCTCCAATTTAGGATCCTGAAATGGCCATTGAATATTTGTTTCTTTCATCTCTAGAATCTATATTTAAAAGTTCAGGTATTTGCACGGGATTTACCTCAGATTTCTCATGATCGTCAGCACAAAAAAACGGTGGCCCCCATCATTACCCCTCGTCCTAAGCGAAGCCAAAGCCCTCATGGCCTTCATGAACGGCCTTGCTGCGAGGCCGTGGGTTGGAACCCCAGTTTTTTTCGGTCCAGTATGGAGAAGTAGGATTCATCCACTGGGGTGAACGAACTACTATCTACAAAAACGATTCGCGGGATGAAAAAAGGCAAGTAGGAACTATGAAAGAAGGGTGTAGACTCGACATGGGAAATTCGGGTTTTTATTCACAGCAATCTCCGATGATCATGGAATAGGGGTAAACATGAGGCTAGATCCAGTGGAACTTGGAGTATAACAAGGACAGAACAAAAGAAGAGATGACGTTGCCATTGGAAGTAAGTGAAAATGGGGTTTACTCCGGCCCAAACATCAGCTGGCGCTAATCATAACAAGTATAGCCGCAATGTGCAATATAAGAAACCACAGAGTCAACACAAAGATATGACCAATCTTGATGATTGCAAAACATAATTAAGAACTACTCTGAAAACAAAACAAACAAAAGATCGAAATAACACCATCGTTCCAAACTGCCATAAATCCTGTACATCAAATTCAATCTTAGAGACTTTGCAACTCAAAAAAATGCATAGTTCTTTGGCTGGTTGGTACATCCTCCCATAAATCGCAACAAAATCACAGGATGAAACGAGCCATCCCGCTGCTTGTTCATCGCTTCTTGTCGGTTAAGCCGCTAAGCCGTGGATTTCGTTGGCTCAATCACCAACTTGGTTGCTGAAACCACCATGTTGTCATCCCTTTTTCTGGGTTACTGTTGGTTAGGTTGCATCATTTCTGTTGCTTAACTGGTTGGTGGTATACCTACCCCTCTGAAAAATATGAGTTCGTCAGTTGGGATGATGACATTCCCAATATGATGGGAAAGTCATAAAATTCATGTTCCACACACCAACCAGTATTATAATCCCATACAATCCCCATGAATAAAAAAAAATATATATCCCACGTACATCATGTCTGTTGCTGAAGCCATGTGAAAAACCACCATCTTTTTGCTGCTGATTCAACCTTCCAACTTACGGCGGCCTGGAGCAGCTTCTCGCGCAGGACTTCTTCTGAGGGATAGTCTGGGAGGTCCAGCCTCGCACGTACGTCACGTCGCTGGTTGGAAGAATCACCAACAAAAATAGCAGAAACTTGAAGGAGAACTCTCCCCTGGCTGCATCTAAGCAGCTGGTTGAAGCAGGTATGAGCCTCAGCACCCAGGCTTCCATTGGCGTCCATCAGTGATGTTTTTTTGGGGCTTGGTTTGGGGGAAGTTTTCCCGCAACTCACCCATAGCAATGTCCATATGAATATCTGGGTTTTGATGCAATGGGTCCTAGACTCACTGCACAGCATCTTTGATGCTTGTTAAGGGGGCGGTCTGACGTAGACAAAGTAGATCGTCTGCAAATAAAGATTCATCAAGTGTGAATCATGAAATATAGTCCTAAACGCGTCAATTAAAAACCGTTGATTCTTCATGGTGTTTTAATTTTCATCAATACTCTGCAAAAAGGGCATATATAATATTACCAAAAATGAGAATATTAACAATCAACAATGAATATCCCAATAAATAGTGAACATGTTCATTCATATTCATTTTCAGAAAAATCCATCACATCTACCACATCCTCCCCTCCCTCCCTCCAACCCCTGCTCTCTAACCGCCAAGGCACCGAGGGCAAACGCTCAGGGCCAAAGGCTTTGTGAATGCAGAACTTCTGTGGACCACGCATGCCCACCAAGCCCTACCGGCGTGCCGGCATGCTGGAAACAGGTGGACCATCGGTGCTACAGCCGTGTGTCTAATAAATGGAATACCCTCTGGTAATCTGACATAACTATGGAAGCTCACCATTTTTAATTGGTAAATCAACTACAAATGACCATTTTCAATAGCTATGTTTGTTTACCAGAGGGTATCATGAAATCAGACATGGATATCATGTGTAAACACCTAGACAATATCGGGATGTAACCATCCATGCTTTGAACTGGGATGGAATTTAATTGGCATATATTAGCATATATAATCATGATTAAACATGGTTATTCCAATATATAATAATCCCATACAATCCCCAATAAAATATATCCACATATATCCCACATACATCAAGTCAAACTCAAACTGCACCCCAAAGCATGGGGCGAAAAGGCTCAGGTGCATAAATTTGGAATTGCAAACGCTACTGGCATTTCCGTCCACCAGGGTCACGTGGAAGTTCTTGTCGATGTACTCCCAGGTGCCACACAGGTGAGAGTTCGTTGTGCGGAAATCCTTCTGGTGGAATCGGAAACTCATGCCACATGTGAAGTGTAATCTGGCAATGACCTCTCCCCTCTTGAAACCTCCACAAACTTGTTTTCGTGAGCGTTGCATCAGCAGGGATCCCCGGCAGGTTCATAGCGCGCAGCACTATTGCTTTCGTGAGAGAAACAAAAGCTATTGAAAAAAGATCACAAAACCTTGCAGGATGTTGATGACCATAACTTGGGGGGCATCCTCCATTTTCAGACACACAAAAGGTCACATCAGATCTATCTGATTTATATAGTTGATGACTACCCTCGTTGCGAAGTCTCAATTTGATAAACAATATGTTGCTTTTCAGGGGGACTATGTGCCACTTGTTTGCATCCACCCTCCAGTAAATTCACATAGATATGGAGAAGCCACAATGAAAACATATCTTGTCCCTAGCTACTCCTTACTCACCATCACTCATGGTGAGGCTCTTGTGGGGTCATTCTACAAAGGATGGGAATCCCAACTTCGACTGTGGCTACCTCGAAATGTCGTCCCTGGTTAGATCCTGGTTGGTAACGGATTTCCTACGGTGGATTCTGATCCTGCCCAATAAATAAAGGGTAGAGTAAAACATAGCTATGGAAAATGGCCCATTTATAGATGGTTTACCTAATATTTACCTATTAAAGATTGTGTTTTTCTATAGCTATCTTAAATCACCAGAGGGTAAAGGGTACTAAAACACAGGAACTAACCCCCTTCAGAAACATGAACCATCAAATCCATCAACCCTCGGGGTGCTTTTTTTTTTCGCAGGCAATGCTCAAACATCATTTTTTTTATCCCAGATCATCTCCATGATATGTATTCCAATGAATTCCATCCCATGATACCACCAGAAATGATCAGACATGATGGTTCAATCCCCATGTCATAGTCTAATTGGATCTAATTGCTTGGTTAAATCCAAAAATCACCAACAATATCCAGTGTTTTAATGTTGTTTAATATGGTTCAAAAAAACATTACCCAACAGCTTCCCGCAAAGGTCCCAAGGGGTCAGTTTACCAACATCAGCCAAAATTTTCACCACAAAAACCGCCTTGAAGCCTTCCACCGGCACGCGACTGGTTCCCGTGGCAAACTGAAGGAACCTCAGCAAAGGCGACAAAACCTGGGATCGTGACATTCCAGGGATTTTTTACTGGGATATGATGGGAAGATCGTGGCGGTTTACCCTCCGGTAATCTGACATAACTATGGAAAATCACCAATTTCAATGGATAAATCAACTATAAATGGCCATGTTCAAGTTGGCAAACTGTTAGTCTACCAGAGGGTAATGGAGATCTTCACGGGAGTTCTGTTCTGGAGATTTCATGCGTTGGGGGCTGATTGCGATAGGAGACACATCGAAGGCTGTCGATTTCCATGGAGTTCCTTTGACAAAAAAAACATTTTTCTGTAGGCTAAAATTTGACATATCCCCAAAAAAGTAGGCTAAAATATAGTACATATTACATATTAAGATGTAAGATAAACCATACAGAATTCCGGGACTGCTGACTTGGGGAGTTGCAAAATAACTCAAAATCGCATGTTTCTACACGATTGCCCACTTTTATGCATCACCAAAGACATGGTGAATTGGTTGTCACACATGGAACATCTTAGCTATGGCGAAAAGAAACCACCCACAGTGGATGGTTTCATACTCGCCATCTCTGTAAGGCTTGTTGCAAACTTAAAAAACATATTTATATATATATATATATATCAATAGCATAAACTTAGCTATATAAGTCTAGATTCTGCAGAGACGTGCCACTACATACATATATTGGTGCACTTTTTGGTGGTTTCAACCCCTCTGAAAAATATGAAAGTCAATGGGAAGGATTATCATGGATTATCCCATGTATTATGGAAAATAAAACATGTTCCAAACCACCAACCAGTATAACCTGATACTTAAATGCTACCCCCAATGAACCAGTCTAGCGGCTGTGAGTCCAGGACATTGAAACACCGACCCTGACTTCAGTGGATACTCAGGGCCCTAGGGGCCCCAGGCCAGGCCCTTTGCTCCTGACTGAACTCGCTAAGCACTTTCCAGAACCTCGGTGCTGAAACCTGGAGAAATCTTCAGCAAAAACACATCAGAAACGATTTTGAGAGAACAGGATTGGACAAAAAATACCGAAACATTGTGAGTTTGATGATGTTTGATTGATGGATCGTGCATTTTGGATGAATACACATTGGATTTATGGAGAATCACGAAACTTTGTCGATGAAACTTTGGTTGATCACTAGAGAAACATTAATGATCGGATGAAAAACACACCCATACTTGAAAATGGGACAGCACTTCCAACTCAGTGCAGAAATTGCATGACATCTGATAATCATCAACCGATGGGATATGGGTTTGTCCAAACAAGGATAATCCCATGATTCAATGGGTTGTCCCATAGGATCCATGTATGGTATATATGCTAACATTGGGGGTATATTGATGGGATCCATGTTACCATATATAGCATACATGGATCCTATGGTTATCCAAGAATTAGGTGAATGATCATCCCGTCTTGTCCTGCTATTGTTTATAATCAGCTTGGGGCATGTGTGCAACTGCCACTTTAATGGGGAAAACTGATATTTATAAACCAATGGGATTGGGGTACTCGGGAGTGCAATTGTTCTCCAGGCCCGGTGCCGAAAACAATGATGCAAAAAACAGTGCCCCAGCAAGATCAGATGGCTCAATCTTCCAAATGGCCACTTTGGTGTGCTCTTTTCTCACCATCCTGGATTTTGTGTTTAGACCTTATCAGAATGACTTCCTCCCTTTGGTTGGATGATTTTCCCCCGGCTATATGTATATACTTGTATATACGTACGTATAAACATCTTTTATGAGGATTTACCACATTTATAGATGACTTTCTCAGCTAAAGCCTCATTGACGGGAAATTGTCATAGATATTCGATTTAAACCCCATTAAACCATATTAAGCCACCTTTTTTTCATAGGATTTCCCAGCGATGTCCATGTTTGATGTAGCCTTTTGTGGGCGGCTTCGCTGGGTGTCAGGCCATTGGATCTGGTCGGACCTCGACAAGGGGAATCATCCCCATTCATGGCCGAACTATTCAGGTTCGTGAATTACTATAATTTACCCAGATGTTATACAATGTTATATATATATATAATCTATTCAGTGTAGCTTCAATATGGACTGCATATCGCTTGTGAAAAAAAATATTCAGCACAATAAGGGCTTTCATCGCTTTTAATGGTTGAAGAGCGGCCCAATCTTGCTATGACATAATAAGGGTCAGGAAATTATCATATTCTCAAAATGCATTATCATGTAAAAAGGATTATATAATAAGGTGAAATAAACAAAATAGACTCCACTTAATCTGGTTGGTGGTTTCAACCCCTCTGAAAAATATGTAAGTCAGTTGGGGTTACTATTCCCAATATATGGAAAGTCATAAAATTCATGTTCCAAACCACCAACCAGATAGATATAGTTATATAAATAGTATTCATGGGACTACTGACTACTGATGGGATATTCATAAGGTGCAATAATTAAAATAGACTCCACTTAATGATTGTGTAAAATTAAGAAACAACCAAAGTGGTCGATCAAGGGACCAACTATTTGGCCTTGTCCAATCTATGCAATGCAGGCTGAGACCAAATTCAATCAGTGCGCCTACGGTGTGAAAACATAAACATAAAAAAAAAATATATATATAAAAACTCCCCATGTTCAATCTCAAATTTACCCAACATGTTTGACGTTTCATGCGATATTCAGTGCCCTATTCCACTTCCAGCTGAATCTTCCAAACTCAAAAGCTTTAGCTGTTTAGCTCCTGTGAGACAACCTGGGAGTTCTTTGAACATAGCGTAGTTACCCAACAAAAAACTACTGCTTGGTTTGATCATCATCCCCAGGAAACTCACTATCTGAGGCGCCGCTAACAATGGCATCACTGAGGTCCCAACTGAGGAGTGTAGTTGTGGTACTCCGTGTTGGCCTTCAGATCCTGAAAAAAAAAACCTTCACTGCGGCTTGGTGGGTCAACGTTCATGCTGGAAGATAAAGTGGATACCCTCTGGTAAACCAACATTTCAATGGGATCTAATGGGAATTTATGGGAATATGGTGGTTTAATGGGATCTAATGGGTTTTATCCTCTGGTAATTTAACATAACTATGGAAAATCACCATTTTCAATGGTTAAATCCACTATCAATGGGCCATTTTCAATAGCTATGTTAAATTGCCAGAAGGTACTCTCCGGTGTCATCAAACGCGGCTGGCTGCAAAACTCACTCACTGCACGTTTTTATGGGGCACATTGATCATCAAGCCATGTTTGATTATCAGAGGGTATATAAAACCACCAAGCAGACCTGAATATCCGAATATCCAGTGGCAAATCTTGGATACCCCAAAACATGGCGAAGTATCACACTTAATAAAGTTCAATAAATTTCAGAGAAACATAACATAAGCCAACCAATCATCCAACATTAATTAGTTTGATACAAACCATAAGCAACCACCATGTTTAATGCATGCCAAACCAACCATAACAAACCAATATTTTCCCAACATGTAGGGCATGCACAATGTATTCGAAACCACGACCGAGAATTCCACTGAAATCCAATGGGTATAGAATCGAGCGAATAGTGGCACTATGGGGAGATAGCTGAGCAATGCCAAACAACCAAGATGGTGCACAACCAGCAAACATGGATAAAGAACCAACAACAGTAGGAGATCCGACAAGCAATCACAGGAATCGAAGCAATATATATATAATTACATATATAATTATGTATAATTATATATAATTGTATATAATATATATATATATAATATATATATAGATAGATAGATAGATCACGCCAATATCAACCAAAACAGACCAAACTTCTTTAGCCAACCGTGGGGGGGTTGTGTCCCCAGTCCTCAATATCAATGTCCGGCAATCCGGAAATCAGCAGTTCCAGCTCTTTGTCCTCGACGATGAATTTCCCCAAATCATCCCCCCCGTTGTGTCAATCCCCCACTGAACCAGGGTTTCTGGGGCGTGTTCAATATGAAACAGAGGGATTAATGATAATCTGCGTCTAAATGGTATCCCCCAATGAGCCTAGAGGTTTATTAATCCGGGGTCACATGGCTGTTGTTGGTATTGCTACTGTTATTGTCGCAATTCCAACAGAAGAACAGAGTATGTTGATGCAAAGGTGTGGCTACGTTTTACACTTGGATGCTCCAAAATTCGAGTGCTTTGTCAATAATTGTCATCACTTTCCCCAAAGTGAAAACAAATCATCCCATCCCCCATTCATATTAAACAACCTCAAGAAACCATGGTTTAATAGGGGATGAAACTAACCACATCTTTGGGACTGTGGGATGGGGCTGCTTAATAGTAGGGGATGGGATTCATTAGGCTTTCCCAACATGGGAAGAGAAGAATCATGAGGATATATAGATTTTAGATGATATACCAATATTAGATATATTAGATATATTAGATATATTAGATATATAGATATATAGATATATAGACTAGATATTAGATCTGGGTAAATTATCATATTTCACTAACCTGAATAGTTCGGCCATTTGGGGATAATTCCCCTTATTAATCCTTATTAACCAATATTACTCAGGTCTTTCCGCGTCGGAGAGTTTCCGCAAAAAAAAATCCCCCGGATTTCGAAATCGGCTTTGCCATCAAGGCCTTGGACCCGACACCAAGGCTTTTTCCAACACATCCCGAGGAGTTCCCCACTGCACAAAGCAGCTATGTTTAAAAAAACAAGATGAAAGTATCATGTTTTGTTCACACACTGTTGTTCCAATAACTTCTTTATATTCCCCATAAACTGCCATAAACATAACTTTTTCGGAGAAGGTTGACAATGATTTATATAACAGCAAAATGGTGAGGTGTCATTTAGACCCAATTATTTTCCTCCAAAAGCAGAACCAAGAGCAGCGTCCACTCAGAACGAGGCACATCAAAGAGCGACAAAAGTTCGGGTGGAACGATCTCATGAAGACCTGCAGGTGGCCCAAGAGTGCAAAGAGTCAACATCAGAGCATAGCCAGAAGGGTTGGTACGAAATGGTGCCCCCTAGATATTCTGATATGTGTCTTGGTTTATAAACCCAGCTTACAATAGTAATAACATGTAATAACATGTTATAACTTCCATACACCCCATTCATCCTGGTAATAAACCGTTATAAACCTACGTTCTCCTATGTTGGGGATCCTGGGCGCGACTCAATCAGTGTGCCACACGTGGCCTGGGGAACAGGAACCATTCGGCTGATAATGCTAGCATTGGCAGCACGGTTTTGAAGACCACCAATACTACCAAGAAGCATTACTAACTACGTTGCAATCATGCATATCACCAAGGAGAATTATTATAGCAGAATTTAGCGGAAATGTAGCCAACAATATCCAACAATGGTGAAAACATATAACATACATGAATCAAACAATGAAAATCAACCAACAATTGATGCAGAATATAGCGGGATAATGGAATAACCAATGATAACCAACAATGGATATATCATGATATATCACGATACATCGACAACCCACCAAAGCATACACCATCTCTAAACCATTTTTTTTAGCCGCTTAAATCTCTGGTTCCAAACGCGTCTCACCATCTGCACCTTTGAGGAAGGCATCGATCTGCTGTCGCACGGAGTTGGTCCTAAGTTGGTGAAATGATGCACCCATGGGATTTTTGGGGTTACCCTCTGGTTATGTCGAAATAGCTATTGAAAATGACCATTGATAGTGAGTTTTCCCATTAAACATGGTGATTTTCCATAGTTATGTTAGTCTACCATCCGGTAATCAAAGGGATGGCAATTGGAAATCCATATGGAAATCCCGTGTTTTCAGTCGTGGATGCTTTCGGTGAGAACATCATCCACAAATAATAGGGAATTTTTGTTGCATTTCATTGCCATGTTTGATTGCCAGAGGTATACCCAGCTTTCGGACGAATCAAATTGGAAAGTAAACAACCAGATGGTCAATTCCGATTACCTCAATCCTTTTAAAACATGTTAAACCTGTATACCCTGTATACCCTTGGTACTTTAAACCTTTTAATCTACTTCCTTGCAATAAAAAAAAGCAGTACAATCACAGTACTATTACGTACTATTACTATGTGTGTATATACGTATACATATATATATATATAATTGTATATATATATATATATATATGTACATGATGGGTGTACAACCATAATTAATTTCCTTTCAATTTCCTTGGCTTTGGTCGATTGCGATACCACATTCAGGACATAGTCATGGGCCCGCTTGTTTTAAACCCACAACCCCATAGGCTCGCAGTTCCCAACAAACAAAACTCACGAACCATCATAGTCATCATAGTTCTGGCCTAAATGGGGTCATTTCAAAATTAGAAACTGCCAAATCTCATGATTTATCTTCAACATTGAGAAAGATCATAAGTCAGGGATAAATCCACCATTCCTCAGCAAACTCAACTCAAATCTATGGCTCTGGTTTAAGCAAATCTCATGAGGACCTGGGATTTTTTCGGCGCCCCCACATCTTGTGCTCCGACATCAGCTGAATGTATTCGTACTTGTTCTCGTTGGTCACGGGCCTTTGCGTGCCGTAACAAGCCAAGTCCCAAGGATGTTTGCGGGATACGTTTCACCCCGTCCGTGGGTGTATTGCGACCTTATTGTAGTAACAAGATGCAGATTGAGACACGTTAGAATAAGTTAGAATCCGAGGTACAACAGAGTTTCAACTGAATTTGGCTGCCCTCACGGTCTGTTCAATTCTTTTCAAACCCCAATTAGCCAGTTGCAACCACGTGTTTAAATCCACTTAAAACTGTTTCATCTCATAAAGCACACTTTTGGATCTTTTGGGATATGGTTTTCAATACCTCCAAATGATAAGTCAGTTGGCAAATGGGGATGACGTACCATTTTGTCTATTCTTGGCTTTACCATGTGTTCTTACGTGCTCCCTGACCTAAACCTGGGCCTGCACTCTCTTAAAGATTCATGGCCGACAAAAGCTGGACCACACTTCAAACAATGGGCCTGCGCTGCATAGAGGAATTTGTACGAATTTGTATTTTTCGCTGCGAGATTCATCTGTAGTTTTTTTGTTCCTGCTGCTTCTCAAAATCATCGCAGAGCGGGGCAGCATCGCAAGCTCCTGTCCTAGTGCCAGGAATGACCCGAATGCTTTTTGTCTGAAGACTCTTTCCAGAACTTGCGACCTAGCTTTGCCTGCACCACATATCTTACGGATATAAGCCGTCCATTCGACCTCGGTGATTGGGAAGACCTCACAAACTTCTGGTGAAATCTCCATCTTCCATTGGTGCGCACCTTCCTTCGGCTGCCCACTTAAACATCACCAGCTTTGGATGATAACCTGGGCTTTCCACATTTGAGCACACAACCATATTTGCAACTATGCAGCGTCAGGTATTTGAGATTAAGTTGTTTATTCTTGGTGTCTAAGGAGATACCCCCATCATTAAACAACAAGATGGGTTTCAATGTCCCTATCTACAGTGCCAATCGATGAAGGTTGCACTGGGGTACCCAGTCAACTTCCCAAATATCTAATCATATTGTTGGTTATACCCCTATTTTGCACATTTGTGGTGAAATCCCTTATCATGTTAAGTTCCTATTAATACGCATCCCCCAATGAATCAACACCCACATGCCAGCAAAAAAGGCAATACTACTTTGGGTTGGTCTCTCCCTATTCATAAACATGTGCGACCACCTTTTTTTCCACAACACCCTGCTCAGAAATTCTAATTTTGTGGTAGTCAGGGTATAATTTTTGTTTGTTTTAATGGTTTTAAGTGCTTCTTAATGGTTTAAAAAGTAATGTTTGGAAGGGATGTCCCATGCCCAATCTCACCATCTCACCCCATTGGGAGGGAGGTTGCTCCTGAAAAGAGAAATCTCGACCCATTGGCAGGCAGGTTGGTTGTTCTTTTTTATGTATGACAAACCCTTTCATTGGGGGGACTCTTACCTTCTAGGGGATTTATTAATACGAATTTGGCATTACCCATTAAAATCCTAGTTTCCACACATGTTCAGCTAATTTGATGGCTAATTCTCCATAGTTTGTTGCTTCAACATTGCATACCAATTTCTCTGAAAAAAATTACATATACTGCCAAATCGGCTGATGAATCATAATTTTCCCGGACCACAACTTGCCAGAATTTGGGGTACCCCCAATTTTCAACCCATATTTACTGCACCCGTAGTCAACGGGAGCCCTGAAAAATACGCTGGGCTCGTCCCGCAAAGATCGACCATTGGGTTTCAGGTCAACCACCTGTGTCGCGTCGTGTCGTGCGATTTCCGATGTGTTTTCCGATGTGTCGTGGAACCAAATGGAACCAACAGTTGATACCAAAACAATTGGATCGCGCTGGGACATGCTTGAAGAATCTGAACAATCTATAGCATATTTATACATATTTATACTGCATATATATATGTATATATTTCTGTAAAGCCCATATTGATGTACCATTTTGGATAGGAAGTAAAAGTGGATCGAAGGGGGTCACAGGAGTCACGGGCTGAGGATGACGTCTGCCAAGCCTTAAGGGACGTGCCGGTGCCGAGCGAGATTCATGAATCAAATCTGCGGATTAAGATAGCAGAGATAAGCCATGCATATATATATATATATGTTATAGTTAGAATTACCATCTGGTTATTTAACATAGCCATGGAAAATCACCATTTTTGATAGGTAAACCATTTTCCATGGCTATGTTAAATAACCAGAGGGTAATTATAAAAAATAAATGCCACATACATCCACATACTATGTCTCAGATTGCTTCTCCAAAATATCCTGTTTTATGACAACAAGTCACTCCCCAAAAATCGATAGCCAAAAACCCTGGATTAACCAATGGGACACGGGTTTCTTGATGAATGCAATGTATGTGGAGAGCTGTGGTTCAAGTAACAGAATTTGGTATATTATGAGTCTTTATATACATACACAAATATACACACCTAGATATATATTGTTTGATATTGATTGCATATATATATATATATATTGATATAATTTGTATAGTTATATATATAATATATGTAGGGATATTTTAAAATGGGGGATCCTCAAGTCACCCTTAGGTATCAATAATAATATGGTCCAATCTTGGCCATTTTGGCATTTGGGATAGCTACCCCGACAGTGACCATCATTCCAGTGAGGTTGCGGCGTGAGGTGATTACAATGTATCCAGAATGTCCCCATTATATTCCCACTATCATACTATGTTCCCATTATATCATTTGATGATTAATCCCTATTTTTGATGGTTAAGCATGGTTAAGCATGGTTCAGTCCACATTTTTGATGGTTAACTCACCTACCATTCACCCGTTATACCCACTGACTGCCTCCGTTACGGAATCTGCTGCCTTCATCTGACCCAGCTCATCGCTCTCGGCGCAAAAGTACAGTTCCACAATGTCCGTGATGTCCTCAATGGATGAACAAACATTGGTCAATGGATTGGTTTGAGGGAACATCTACAAGAAACCAGGGAAAATCTACAAGAAACCATGGTTTTGACCATAAAATATCGGGCTTTCCGGTGAAAATTTTCCCATCAGCCAATTCATTGGGATATCCTGTGATCCACCTATGCCCTAGTGCTCTGGATGATATCCATTATGGGATGATGAGAAAACTGGGATATGACAGAAAACATCGCTGGAATGTTGGGAATCTATGAATTTTAGTAGGATAATAGTGGATAATGATAGGATACTAATAGGAAACTTCTAGCTTGATAATGATTGTGGAAAATATTATATATATACATATATATATATATACATATATATATATACAGTAGTTGATAATAGTAGGATAATGTCTGGAAACTTGGGGAAATATGATCAGAGTAGGAGAATTGTTCGGGAGAATATGGACAAAAATCCGTCCAAAATGGGAATCTTCGGAATCTACCATGATGATCTTTGGGACAAATATGGAAAACAATGGGATAAAACATGATAAAACATAGGAATGGTAGAATCACCACAGGATGATGGGATAACGAGCTGAGATTTTCGGGTTTCAATGGATTGGCCCAAGGGATTGTCTCAACGAGTCTACCCTTGGAGCATTGATGGATTTACCCATTCAATGGGAATTGCAGGATCCTAAAATGGAGGTACTGTACCATATAAGGACATATTTTGTGGGGATATTCCCTTACATAGGCCTTATATATGGTAGGTACCTCCAATTTAGGTTCTTGAAATGGCCATTGACCCATGTTTATAGGGTCTAAAATGGGATGTTTTTTGGGGGAGAACCAACAAATTGAGTATTTTTGTCAACAATAATCCACTCAATGCATTGGTTTAAAGGAACTTGCTTAGGATCATTGGAGGAAATATGGAATGATCGTGGGATCAAACTGGGATACTGGTATGACAACGGGATAGTGGGATGGATAATAATGGGATAATAAGGGAACAACGATAGAGCAAATATGGGATAACATTGGGTTAATAATGGGGTTCAATGGCTTGGTTGAAGGGAGTTTAGTTTACCTTAAAGTTTATGTGCAGCAATCTTTAGGTCGAGAAATTGGGGTAAAACTACCCATTTTCATTTCTGCTTTTAATCTTGGGACCTTACAAACAGAAATGGTATTATATGATCATACAATGGGGATATGATTGGACATCATGGGAAACAACTTCAAAACCAAGAATACGATATTTCGGTTTTTCCCGCAGAAAAACAACAATTGAGGGTATTGCAGGTGTACCACCATTTGTGGCAATCTTGGTGAGAATATGATCCTAAACCGTTATCTGCCTTTTATGTCAAACACATGTCAAACCGCACAATTTTACCCATGTGGATCCGAGAAGGGATAGCGAAGTGATATTTCCTTCTCTAAGGCACGTAGTCCAACATGGGCATATCAAACATCAACCATCAGAAACCATCGGTAACCATTGTTTATAACCATATGTTTAAACCATTTGGTAACAATCAGAAACCATCATAACCGACAAGGCTATGAAATTGCTCCGCGGCCTCCTCTTCCAACCATTTTTTAAAACAGCTGTAACCATCATACAGCGCTGAAGCAAGACACGTTGTCCAACATCCACTTCAGGTTGGAAAAATACTCTGGATCAAAGGCTTCCAAGTCGGCAGCGATCACCTGCCAATGATGCCAATGCGAATCCGGGATACAGATGTTGAGACCATCATTTTTACCAAAAGCTTGTAAAAAGTAGATATTTACCACCAAACAATAGGACATTGGCTCATTTTTATGTGTCAACTGAGGGTCAAATTTGAATATATATATATATACATATATACATATATATACATATATATACATATATATACATATATATATATACATATATATATATATATACATCCACATTCATCACAAAAAAAGTGTCTCAAATGTATACCTGCATGTAATAATCATACCATAGATGGAGCAGAAGGGTCAACAAGGGTATAGGGGCCATATCCATTGAAGGCCCATCTACTGTGGGCAGTCAGCACCTCAACGTGGAAGAAACAAATGTTCCATCTGGGATTTGGCCTCAATTTAAGTAGCAAACAAGGTGATATGCCCACTGGTAAACTAACATAAGTATGGAAAATAACTATTTTTCATGGGACAATCCACTATAAATGGCAATTTTCCATATAGTTATGTTAAATTACCAGAGGGTAAGCAAAAAAATGATTTTATAGGAATATCGTGGGGACTTTTTTTGGGGATATAGTGCTGGTTGGTTTTTGAGTCAATCCGCTGAACCATCTGCTCGTCATTGGGGACCATCATCCCATTATGGTTGAAACATGTTGAAACAACTGGAGCCAGCACCATAATTTTCATTGGTTATATAAGGGTTTCCTAAACTGGGGGTATCCCAAAAAATGGATGGTTTTCTAGTGGAACATCATACTAAAATGGATGATTTGGGGGTACCCCTATGACTTAGGAAACCACAACATATACCCGTTTGATCCCCGTTGAACGCACGCGAGTTGTGAAGATATCACCTCATCAAATCTCCTCTGTTCACAACTTCATTTTGAAATATCCATTGGTTGGTAATATTCTATTAATATATGGTTAATAATGGTTATGATGATGGTTAATGATGGTTAATAATAATCTGGTTGGTGGTGCAATAACCATCTTGAAACATATGAAAGTCAATGGGAAGGATGACATCCCATATATGAAATGGAACATAAAACATGTTCCAAACCACCAACCAGATTGTTTAACATAAATGGTCTAGATATGGTTGTAATCTGATTATACATAACCATAATTGTATGATATTGTATGTAGAAAATTGTTTAAATATAACCATAATTCTACCAAGCCTGCTGTTTTCACCTTGTCCATCTGTACAACCGTGGAACGGACATCGTTCCCCTGTGCCAACACCAGCCTTCTTGCCAAGCATGTGCTTGTAGAAGCCGCGGGTGAACCAGGCCTCACGTTCACAGTGGTGCTCCCTTGAATAAAGGTATGCCTTAGCATGCTTGTGCACAAAATGTTCATGTACAGTATAGCATGCATACGCACACACACACACTATTATATATATATATATATATATTATACATACCATAACACATAGCTTACACATACTTATGGTGGATATGCATAGGTGGATATCATATCCAACCAGCTCAAAGTAACTCAGAGGTACACATGCCCCTTGGGTTGATGACCATCCCCCGAAAAAAATAACGGGAAGATTCAATCCCCAATCATCTGCCATTGTTTTTTTTTCCCAGGGATTGGAAGACTCACCATCCAACTTCATCCATAATCAGGCTTGTTTGGATCCCCCTAATCCATCATCCCCCTTTTGTGATACTCAAAATGCCAATGTTTGGTTGCTTCAATCCAAACAAATTAAAATTAAATCACCACAATCTGGGATATCATCATATTTATCTGCTTCAAGGGTACCATAACTCACCCCACCCAAACAACCAGCCTCTCCGATCTCTGTCCAGCGCGCCTCCAAGTTCTGCGCATCGTGGATGGCTTTGCCGATGACGCGGCCGATGAAGTGGAAGAAGTCCAAGTGGTCTCGTGTGACATAGGACCTGGGGACAGGAGGTTTTTCATGGTGGTTTTAATGGCGAAATATGGGAAAATCACGGAAGATTGGATTCTATTGGGTTTTTAACCATGACATGACTGGGGATATAAGGAGGGACAATATCGAACTTTCAACCATGACATGTCGGGGATACTTTTGAGTATGAGGGGACAATGTGGGGATGTTTTTCTGGGATATTATATTTTTGAGATATGTCACCCTCGGTTATGCATTCTTGGGTGCGTCTCAGAATGGGGAACGATAAGGTATACCCCCACTTGTGTTTTCCCTTTGCATGGAAAAGGATGATTGACCAATGGAATTGGGAGTACCCTAGTTTCAGACAAACCGGTTTCGCGGAAGTGGAATGTGGAACTTTTTGAATGCACCTGTCCATGGCTACAATTTCGCATGCAATTTCTATATGCATCTATCTGCAACGTCACCCAGATTTTCAACATCTGCTAAGTGAAATCTGCTAAGTGCAACATGTGCTCGCTGGTACCACTGTTGCGATGATTGGTGATCATGATATGGATATATATAATATATATATATGGATATGAGTCAAAACCATGTAACCCTGCTGTTCACATCCACAATTTTTTTGCCAGCTGCCAGAATGGTTGGCATTTGGGCATGTTCATGAGCTCAATTTGAAGAATCTGCAACTTTCAGAAAAATAAGAAAAATAAGTGTGCACAAGTGCGCCCTCAGTAGTTTATGTGTTTTGGGACACCTAATGACGCAAATCAGTGCAGTTTGCAGATCCAACAAATCAGAGGGGTGGTGGACAGATATATGGTAAAGGGCCATGGGACTTTCAACATCTCCAGGTAAGAAGGGTTTTTACCCGGAATTATATTTAAAAATCAAAATGTTCAATGTAATTCTGGCCATGTGACTTTCAACATCTCCAGGTAAGAAGGGTGTGCTTTACCCGAAATTACATCGACAAAAATCAAAATGTTCAATGTAATTCTGGCCATGGGACTTTCAACATCTCCAGGTAAGAAGGGTGTTCTTTACCCGGAATTGCATTGAATTAATTGATAGAAAAAACTTAGTTGAAACAGTAGCATCCCAGAGTGAAGTGGCCTTGCCAGAACCACTTCAGAGTGAGTTTGTCTTGGCAAGACTATCTCAGAGTGAAGTGGTCCTGCCAGGACCACTTGAAAGTGAATTGGCCTTGGCAGGACCAATTCAGAATGAGTTGGTCTTGGCGGGACCGTTCCAGAGTGAAGTGGCCCTACCAGAACCACTTAAAACTGAATGCAGGACCATGATGGTCTTGGCAAGCCCATACCAGGTCTTGGCCAGTCTTGACAGGACCATTATTGCCTTGGCCCGGCCACAACTGGCAATTATGGTCCTGGCCGGACCACAATTGGCAATGGTGGTCTTGGTCGGACCACAATTGGCAATGTTGGTCTTGGCCGGGCCACAATTGGCAATGATGGTCTTGGTCGGACCACAACTGGCAATTAATGGTGTTGGCCGGGCCATAATTGCCAGCTGTGGTCCTGGCTGGACCATAATTGCTAGTTTTGGTCTGCCAAGACCATCATTGCCAATTGTGGTCCGACCAAGACCAATTGCCAGTTGTGGTCCTGGCCGGACCAGTTGTGGTCCTAGCCGGACCACAACTGTTGTAACATGACCAGCTCACACAAGAGAAGTGTGCACAAGTCTAAAATAGTTCCAAAATAAGTGCGCGCAGGTCTAAAACAGACCAAAAGAAGTGTGCATGACCATGCTCGTTTGTGTTTTAACTTCTTTGGTACTTGTGGTCCTGGCCGGACCACAACTTGCCAGTTGTGGTCCTGGCCGGACCATAATTGCCAGTTGTGGTCCTGGCCGGACCATACTTGCCAGTTGTGGTCCTGGCCGGACCATAATTGCCAGTTGTGGCCCTGGCCGGACCACAACTTGCCAGTTGTGGTCCTGGCCGGACTATAATCGGACCATAATTGCCAGTTGTGGTCCTGGCCGGACCACAACTTGCCAGTTGTGGTCCTGGCCGGACTAAAATTGCCAGTTGTGGTCCTGGTCGGACCCTAATTGCTAATTGTGATCCGGCCAGGACCACAATGGTCTTACCAGGACCATAGTGGTCCTGCCAGGACCACAATGGTCTTGACGGGACCACAATGGTCCTGCCAGGAGGATAGTGGTCTTGCCAGGACCACGATGGTTTTGCCAGGACCATAGTAGCCTTGCCAAGACAATAATCGGTTTACCAGGACCATAGTGGTCATGCCAGGACCATACTGGTCTTGCCAGGACCAAAATGGTCTTGCCAGGACCGGAATGGTTTTGCCAGGACCATCATGGTTTTGCCAGGACCATAGCGGTCTTGTCCGGAGCTCAATGGTTTTGACAGGACTATTTTGGTCATGGCAAGATAAATGCTGGTCCTGGCAAGATCATTTGGTTCTGGCAGGGCCGGGCCCTTTTAATTGCAGAACGTGTTGGTCCTGACAGGACCACTTCATCGCGAGTTGGTTTAGAGTGAGTTGGTCTTGGTATCACCAGTCCAGTGTGTGGACTGTGTACTGTTGATGCTAATGACGAATGATATCATACCATTTCATATCATATCATTATTAGATTATTTTATGGTTAATGATGCTGTGTGATGTGATACCAACAATTATATATCTTCTAATTTTATGAGTTCCCTGTCGGGCTGGTTCTGGGGCAGGATCAACCAATTATTTCGTGACATAAATGATGCCAATATAAACAATGAATCTTAAATATTTAGGGCCATGTTGAGCCTATCTTTTGGGTGTGACTTTGTCTTTTTCGTGAACCAACCCAAGTGGAAATTTAACAACCTTCATTTTCTTTTTGGCCTTATTTATAATATATATATAATATTTTTTTGATATAATATGAAATGATATGATTATGAAATTAATATTTAATTTAATATAGTATAATATAATAGAATATAATGTAACCTTTTAATTTAATTTAATATGATATACTATATTTTAATATAATAGAACTCTCAATAATATAGTAGTATAATATCAACATATGATATTAGATAATATAGTAATATAATAATGTAATAATATATTAATAAAATAAATATATGTAATATATGGGCTTGATGGCACTTGCTGACGTTCTGAACCACTGAACCTCTCGTGAATTTCAGTGGAATTCTGGACATTTCTTTATTTTTTTTTACCGGAGAGGAAAGGGAAGTTCTGTGCACACTTCTGGCTTGTGGGAGATGAAAACAGAAGTATGCACACTTATTTCGGCCAAACGGGTGGATCTCATGAAAGTTAATAATCTGCTAAGTGAAATCTGCTAAGTGCAACATGTGCTCGCTTGTACCACTGTTGCGATGATTGGTGATCATGATATGGATATATATAATATATATATATATATATGGATATGAGTCAAAACCATGTAACCCTGCTGTTCACATCCACAATTTTTTTGCCAGCTGCCAGAATGGTTGGCATTTGGGCATGTTCATGAGCTCAATTTGGGGATGATTTTGTATTGACCCATCCCATCCCAGTTCATCCCCATATCTCACTACCACAAAAGGTTTCCTTTCGAGATGATTCTGCATCGTGCCCTTGACTTCTTGAAGAACTCTAATCCCCAGTTGCAAATTGCCCGTGTGATCTGGGTATGAGTCCAACGCCTGGCATAGAAAAAATATGTTCCCACGATGGGTCCTCATGTTGGGATGTTCATCAATCATCATTACAATAATCAAACATATTCTAGGGTTAGTTTTTTTCTTGTATTGACCCATACCCAGCCCATCCAAATGGGATCAAATGAGTGTGCCTGTGTCTGAAAATTTGGCAATGTCAAACTTGGATTAAGAAACCAATGGAGTGTCTTATTGGAGATGGGGTACCATTTCAATATCAAATTATATATCACCATTTAGGGGTAGAAACCTGGGGTTGACATTACGCCCCCTAAATAGCTTTTGATGATTGTGATGATTAACCAGTGCCACATTTTCGATCAATAAGGGTTCCCAAGTCATGATTGGATAAGATAATGATATGACTACATATCCCTTAAACACAACAAACACACTATATAATAGATAAACTTATTAAAAAACATCATATATATATATTATGTATATAAATATGTGTATGTATATATATATGTAAATATATATATATATACATGTATTTAAACATATATTATATGAATATATGATTAAATAAATATATATATATATATACATCAAGGGTTGGGTAATCCCCATGAGTAGTGCACATGGCAACCCCGACATGGCAAACAAACCACTGGGTTCCCGGGCATTGGATTGGGATGGTAGGTGCAGGCCTTTCCTCCAGCTTGAACAAACAACGCCTCAGCGGAGTGCAGCAGGTCGCGGACGAAGGCCATGAGGATGTGCTAAACACAGCCTGGAACCCCAAACAAACAGAAACCCCAGTTCCAAGCATTTGTTCTGCAATCATTCATTTCTAGTTCCGCCCAAGTGTGGATGATTGCTACATTAGGAACTTCAGATTGCAGTGGAAACATTTTTTTCAACGAGAAATACCTGTTTAACGACAATCCTTGCGTTGGACTGCTGACCACCCTGCTCCAAAGTGCCTCTGGTAACGATATCTAACGATATCATATTGTGACATATTGTGACATATTGTGACCACAAATCCACCATCAAACATTGGATCGCATAGATTCCTTTCTTCCAACCTGTTCCAAAAATAAAAAAGGAGAAAAGGAAAACATGTTGCCCATTGATAGAACTGAATGAACTGGGCAAATGGTATAGGTATAGGGACTGTACAGGTAAGGTTTGGGAGGCCGCATGAATTTGAAGGGGGGTTCCTGGACTCGGGGATTTGCAGTTGACCCCAAATCCGCCGGCTTGCCAGCGGGTCTGATTGAAAGGTGTTGCTCTTGGTTCTTTGTCCTCTTGCTACGCGTTTTTGCTTCGTCTGAATCGTGTCCTCCCCCCCGTCCCCCCTCCCTCCTCTTCATCTTCATCATCATCACCTCTCTTCTTAATCATCATCTTCTTCATCACCATCATTGTTCGTCATCATCATTATCATCATCATGATAATCATCATCCTTATTCCTCCTCATAATTCTTATTCCTCTTCATCATCATTCATCATCCTTCATCATCCTTCATCATGCTTCATCATCCTTCATCATCTTTCATCATCTTTCATCATCTTTCATCATCTTCCATCATAGTTCATGATCTTTCATCATCCTTCATCACCCTTCATCACCCTTCACTTCATCACCCTTCACTTCAAAGGGCGGCGTCAGCGGTTTGGAGCTTGCCTGGTTGACAGTTCTTCCTTCTCTGATCCAGTCTTTGCCATTGCTGGAAAATCCCGCTGCCAGATTCACACGATTTTTGTTCCAACGATTTTTGTTCTACTGAGCCAGTAACACAATCTATGATGGACTCAGAGATAACCCAGTGCAGTCCAAAAGAAGATAGAAACCAAGATAGCAGAGATTCACGTCTATTCAAATCAAAAGCAAAGTACCCTGTAAGTACAGTAGTCTTAAACGGGAACGGAACGTCAATGTAGATTCCGATTATAGAAGAACCCACTCGCCGTTTCCTACCCAATCTAGGGCAGCTCTCACATCACTTCAACAGTCCACTTCATCCTGACGATCTCAGAAAGTTGGAAATACAGTGGGAATATCATGGGATATACAGAGCTCTCACAATTAGGGTTATAATATCTCTTTTCACCATAGGTCTCCGCTGATGCAAATGACCAGTTTCGATTGGATGATCTCTGTTTTTGTTGGTTCTACCCACTTACTGCCTGTATTTTATCCCCATGAAACTCTATATTTTGGTGGCTAAATCCTCCGTCTTCAGACACATCCCATAAAATCTCATCGCATCCTATGAAACATATTCCCGTTGTTTTAGCTGATCATTTACATCCCCATGATGTTCATTATTCATGCGTTTTTTTCCCATGATATTCCATGTTTGATCCCATGATATTCCATGTTTGATCCCATGATATTCCATGTTTGATCCCAGATTTGTTCCTCATTACCCTTCGATTTTGGATGATTTTGGATGACTTTTAGCATTCCGATCCCAGAAAAAAATAGCCATTTCCATTGTGGGTTCCAAGTAGCATAGTTGGGATTGAAGATCTCCTTGGCCAATGCTCCATACCACTCCTGCCACGCAGCCCAGTGCCCGGGTGTCTAACTAGGCTTTTGTTGCAAGTTTCATCCGGGGGAAACGACGTTTTGAAACGAGATAATAGAAACGAGATCATAATGATTGATTCAATGGGACAATTCCATGTTTGTGATGGATTGAATGGTTTTAATATGGTTTAATCATCAATTTGTATTATAGGAATTCCATGATTGAACGGTTGTCATCTTATAATCATATTCTATGGGATATATCATGGAATATGACCAACCAGCTGGCCTTTAAGCATCGAATTTGGATATCTGTTGTGGAAAAATATAGAGGAAACGATCGGATTTCGATGGTGAATGGTTGGCAAATGGGCTATAAAATAAGGATATAACCCGCAATACAGGGATATCATGGGAGATAATGGGATATGATGGGATAACAAACTATATGATCTGTAATGTCTTAAACATTGGGAAATGCTGATAAAGCATGATAAAACCATTGGATTCTTGGGTATCCCATCTTCAAACAAACCATGACAAACCCATAGTCAAGCTTGAAACCAAAGCTATCTTACTTTCCGATCGGAAGTGCCATCACTGAGGGCGAAGAGCAGCAACCAGCTCGTGATGTGCTGAAGCCACAGTCCGTGAGCGTCATTTGCGTTCAGACGAAGCAAAGCATACCCGCTATGTTAATTGCTTCCAACTGGTCGGAGTCCGCGTCAGCGAGGCAGTCACGGGCACTATTTATGCATGATCATATGTATATAATAATCATATGAATAATCATATTTTTATCAATTGATGGGTCATGAAAAACATATTTAAATTCATCATAACAGGTTTATAAAATAGTAGGTTTATAAAAATAATTACACATATTGATAAATATGAATTACCCTCTTGTAATTTAACATAGCTATTGAAAATCACCATTTTTAATGGGAAAATCCACTATTAATGGTCATTTTCAATAGCTACGTTAAATTACCAGAGGGTACATAATAAAAGGTTTGTAACATCATTAGCTGAGCCACATGGCTCAGGCCCTCGGGGTTCCTTGTCTTCACGGCAAAGCCATGGCTACCATTGCTACCATAGCTATGGAATGGGATGGTCCATAGAAATACCCTCTGGTAAACATACAAAAAGCTATGGTATAGATGGCCCATTTATAGATGGTTTACCTATTGAAAATGGCGATTTTCTATAGCTATGTTAAATTACCAGAAGATAGATGATTTATGATGACTTTCATATCAACAATGATGATTGTCCAGTTTGTTACGTTCAATTTCAAGAGGGTAAGTACAGTAAATAGCACTTCTGTGGTCCAACCACGCGCAGAAATTGTGACCCATACCCATGATGGTGAACCCCAATTAGGCCCAAATCACCTATGTTGTTTTGCTTCCACTGAAACTATCTTTATATTTCTATATTTCTATGCAATATCATGCACTTGTCTATTTTCAGCGCCGGAAAATCCAAACATATTGTGGATGGTTGTGAAATCCTGCACCACCAAAAGGATGCTTGAAACCCTATAAATGGTGGGATGTTTACCTCCTCCCTCAACTGGGGATTTCCTCCACCGCATGATGAAGGAGTTCATTTGACATCCGCCGCCGGCCCGGCGCTCAGTTTGTCTGTCCTTGCCAACACCACCCGCGTCGATGCCTGGTAGCAGGTGTCATCAAAGGGAGTTACTGCATGCATATATATATATACATACATACATATCATGCCTGGTGATGATGCTGTAAGTATATATATATATGTATTACAATAAATAATTCACTGGAATGTGTAAATGGAAGTAATGTATGTGTGTATATGTATATATAGATTATCGGGGATATCATTATCACCATCCAGTGTTGTTGTTTAGTAATAATAATAGTACTATTAAATGATATCACATGATTGGTTCCAAAACTTGAAGCAACAACCAGAGTCCATTAGAAAGACTTCTTACTAACAACACCATTTTGCCCGCTATCAAGTCCCAGTTTGTGTCACTCAGCCTGGCTCACGGGGTTTGCCCAAAGAAATGGATATGATTATATACATATTATTACTATTACTATTATTGTTATTATTATTTTTATTATCATTATTATATATTATATAATTTTAATTATATTTATACATTATGAATATTAATAGATTTAATAGTCGATGGAGAGGTGGGGGTGTCCTCTGGTACACATGTCTGGGAAAATGCAATCTTCATAGGTATTCAGACCGCAGGGTGGACATATATTGAGCAACTTTTGGGATGATGGCCCTTCAGGGTCTGAAAATGGGGGAACTTCGCCCATTGCGTGGCATGTTTCATGCGGAAAGTGATGGTTGACCTATTTTCAGGCGGACCCGAATACACTGTTCAGTCACAATAAACAAGAGAAGAACTCGCAGGCATGCAACTGGGCCGACAATCTTCGACTGAACTACAGCATACCAGTACTATCCAAATCTGACATAAAAGATCATTTTCCTGAACCCCAAAAAATGGTCAATACATGTAAATAGCCTCCGGTACTTTCTAGCCGTGGACGGCTGATAGAAATAGATGATTCACCTTCCCCCATCAGGTCACCATGACGATGCCAGCTCGCCTTCTTCCCCTTGGAACTGAACCTCCAGAGGTAAAGCAGAGGCACAGTTGTTGTGGTTTTGTTATTTGGAACTTGTGGAGATTGCTGCAATTGTGGTTGCAACCAATGATCTTAAAAGTACAGCATATAAGATCATATAAGAACAAGCAATTAATTTCTATATGATTCACCTGGAAAAAATAACTGGTTCTTCTCAAATCAACCAATGCACCCAACCGCCCATGGTGGTAACTTGCCAGCTTGGACAGGCGAGCCGTATCAAGCAGGGATGCCCATGGATCAAAGTACCTGCTTAGGGCATGACTTTTGGGGTTAACGACAAGACCTTCTCCGGAAGTATCTGGATCCATTGTGAATGGTAAAGAAAGACTATTTGAGATCACCAATCAGCTGACAGCCTACTGTCAGTCGTTCACGCCAACTGGAGGAGGCACAACTTCAGACAATGGATCTGCGGTTCAGATCCGAAACAGTGAATATGCAATTGATGGATCATCAAACATCAATGACTAATGACCCGTTTAATTCTTATATTTTCCAGCTGTGTTCCAACTCTCCTGTCGCTTCTCAACGAGCTGGGAGAATCCCGGAATCATCCAGACTCGATCATCTCGTGCATTCTTCTGGTTAAATATGGTTAGATTATATTCAACCATCATATGGATTATAAAATATTATAAATACATTGACTAAATGTGGATTATATTGATGACTGGATAAATTATAGCAATTCAATATCTGCTTGGTGGTATACCTACCCCTTCTGACAAATATGAAAGTCAGTCGGGATGATTATTCCCAATATATGGAAACATAAAAAAGGTTCCAAACCACCAACCAGATAGCAATTCAATATATAATCCAGTCATCAATTACCTTGAAATTGAACATGTGCGGATAATGAAAAACCATATATTAAACATTCTTAAGCCATATTAAACTCTTACGCAAACCGGGCTTAACCAGTTACTAACCTCTTATACTAACCATCAAATTTCACAGTGCCCATGTGGCTTTTTCGTCCTCACCCAGGCCTCGCCTGAATCTTGGCACGCATCTCCTCGCCCGTTCGGTTACGCCTCGGCTGTCACTGGGTCGATATCGTCCCAGCCGTTGTTCCCAACAAAAGGGCCCTCCAAAAGGGCCATTTTAATGGGAAAAAACGAGGATTAACCAATAGATTCAGCATTATCAATATGCTTTAGGGGTACCCTACATTCAGGACCCAGGCTGGGTACCCAAAACTCCTGGTCCGTTATGGCCGTCTGGGGCTGGGGACAGCTGGTGATACGAGTCCATAAAGATTTCGGACCGCCTGCACCGGAGGCCGTTGTACGTCACATCGCACTTCATGATCTTTATGGACCACCAGAAATTCATCGCAACCATGGGGTGTTCTATGTTTTTTTTGGGCGTTTTGATCACCAACAAATGACAGAAAAACTGGGGTGTCACAGGCGCTGGTGGGCCACACGGTGCCTCACTCGCAGTCGGATGGTCTCATAGCGACTCTCCATGCGACGAGACCTGCGCGGGGTCATCGGAATGGGGTCCACGATGCCATGGTCATCACTGTGATGGGGATTACCCTCTGGGAAACTTAGGAAAAGCTATTGAACATGGCCCAGTCGAAATAGTTGATTTACCCATGAAACATGGTGATTTTCCTATCGTTTTTTGTATGTTTACCAGAGGGTACCTGGTCAGAACAAACTTGGGGAACATCGCCCAGAAATAGTTCGTTGATTTTGCAAGCGAAAGCTCCATTGAGTTCGTGGACTTGGTGAAATCCCCGTGAATGACATGCTTTATCTGAAAAAAATAGGGGGAAAACCGCCATAGCTTGATGATTTAAGACTTTTTGTTTTCTGAATAGAATTGCCATTTGAGTGAATCCCTAGTTTTGGACAAACTCAAATAATTATGGGAAAATTATGGACAATGCGGCACCCATAATCTGCTTAGTAATAGTCTAATGCCCCATGGTGTCGGAATACTTTTGAATATTTAGCGAACAAATTACCCCAATGCTGACAAATCTGAGCAATGTTCAAGCACCATGGAGCATATGGGAGGAGTTTACTCAATTTGGCATACAATTCTTGGGATGATAAAACCGATGAGGCCACATTCTTTTACTTTTGGGATGGTGGCCATGACAAAACAAATTGTGCTGGTGAAAACCCATTTGAACATGGGGTTGCATGGACATACTGACCTACCCATAACCGATTGAACCACATTTCAGTTGAACCAACACCTCTATGCAAATCAACCTTTTTGTTGGGAAGTCAACCACTATTGTTAAAATCACAAACCATGATTTCAAGTGATGATGGACACCTTTCAAAACATGACACGTGATTTGACAGCCATGCAAAAAAACTCCACACCGGAATCACCGAGGGCCTGAGCTGTGACCGGAAGTAGGCCCTCTTGTTGTCGAAATCCAAGCAGTGCGGCATGTGCTTCAACCTGTGGCTGAGCCCATCTGAGGTGGTAACTAAGTGAAGATCAAGTGAAATCTGTGAATAGCACCTTTGGGATAGCACTTCTGTTTGAGAAACAGATAATGACCACACGAACCTGTGACAATACTTGAAAGAACCTCAGGATGAACAAAAAGAAAACCGCCGTGTGTAGCACCTCCCACAAGCGTATGATAGTGGTGATTGATTCGTGTGTCTCCAAGCATGGTGGACAGACTTTCTTGTTTTGTGAGATTCCTGTTTAAGCAGTTGCCAAACCCTGCTTAAGCAAACCCCATCTACTCGAATCCCAAACTGTAGACGGACCTACAAACAATCATAACTACGGGGATCAGTTACAAGTACGACCAGATTTGTTGGTTCAGAAGTGTTGACCGAGCCACACAGGGGAGAAGGACTTGTTCAGCAAGGAGGGAGTCTGCTTGATGAGCGCCTCAGAAGGCCGTATGGAGGACCCTATGGCATCCCATACAAGTTGAACTTGTCATTTTCGAATCCAAGGATGTTGCAGTACGCCCATCTTTGAACACCGAAACACATCGAAAGAACCATATTTGAAGCAAAGTCCTTAAAGTATCTTAAAGGACCAAAATGATCCATGAGATGAACAAACTTCCACACTCTTGCCCGCGCACGTCGCTGCGCACGCAGAAATATCTCAGCGCAGAGGCACCCATTCCGGAAATCCCTCGTTGCCATAGGCCTCATAGGCCTCAACCTTTCAGCTGTGTTCTCCAAGATTGCATTTGAAAGCAGGCGCACGGCCAGTCTTTGTGGATCTTGACTTCTTCCTGTTGAGATTCACGGGCCTTCCCGTTCAGGCCCTTCATGGCTGCCTCGTAGTTGCGGTTTTTGTACCCCTCCCAGGTGCCGTTCCCAAGCCGCTCCCTCTGGTAATTCCACCACGCAACGGGTGGGAAATCCTCCAGTATCTCATGAAACAACCCATCTACGTAGATAAATGGATGGGGGTAATAAGTGGGTATATAGCTATATTAATCATGGGGGTCAGTGAGCAGGATGCATTCCTCCCTGGGATATTTCAAGGTTTGACCCCCCACTCGCAGTTTCATGTATCACCACTGTGGTGTTCCCTCATTTTGGTGGTTCTGGTTGCAGATGGTTGTGCAAGATAGTCAGTTATTATAGTATATTATAAGATGTTATAATGAGTATAATTGCGCTGGGTGTTGAAGATTTGAAGTTCATAAGCCTCCATGGAGGCATCAGAAAAAGTGACTCCAAATACATAGCACATCCACCACCAACATGCTGCGCATTGATATCCCCTCTGGCGGTAAAGCAATCCCTCTGCCAAAGTGCCATCTGCATGATGCTGGACAACTGGACGAAGCCACGTCTAACTGGTGTAATTATGGGATCTGAATTCACATTAACAACAATTTGCATAGTGACAAAATGTGACAAACACATAGGTTATCTACCAAGCGCTGATTGTTTTGAGCAGGGACAGGCAAGGGTGGAGGTAGTTTGTAGTTATCAGGTAGATATCTACTGTCAACAAAATAGCACACTTCTCAAAGATCTGAAGAACCTGAATAGCCATGTCTGAAGCTGCATCCTTATCGTATTCAACTCGTCAAGAAATAAACCCAGATGAGTCTTCCTAAAAAGAAATTGTGTTTTATTGTTCCTTACATATCCTTACATGCTCCCCTCCCTTAATTCCACCATCCTTATTGGTGATCCTTATTGGTGAAGGTGCGTCACCAACCTCCCCAAGCCCTGCTGTTCCCGGCGTTCAATGGACGTCGGTGCTGTTTGCAGAACCTGATCGTTGTGGAAATCCGAATCCATGGGAACCGGCTGAACAGTTCAGAACCATCAAGGCTTGTTGTTGGCCACGTTTTGGTGTTGTAAATGGCACATGTTTCTGTACAATATTAAATTCATGCGTTGGATGGTGAGATTTTTAATTTTGATGGTTTTTCACACTGGTTAGAAACCATGATTTTCAATATTAACCCACAATTTCTGGTTAAACCACCATTCAAAAGATTCTGGTTGGTGGTATATACCTACCCCTCTGAAAAATATGAGTTCGTCAGTTGGGATTATTATCCCCAAGCCAATATATGGAAAAATAAAATTCATGTTCCAAACCACCAACCAGGATGAAATTTCTGGTTAAACCCACCATCTTCACATCTCCCAGGAAGGTTGGAACCCATCACGCCAGGGGCCCCGGCTGTCCAAAGCGGCTGCGTTCTACCAGAGTCACCTGGGATGAATGGGAAGGGGCAGGATTTCACCAACAGAAATAGGGATTTCATCATCAAAAATATGAATTTAACATGATTTAACCGTCAAACATAGGGATTCTACATGCTTCTTCTTCCTTCCATCTCTCAGGATGGGACTTAACACCCGAGCACGGGGCATTAAGCCATTTGTTGGGACATGAGTCCCCTGGTACGAAACAGCCAGGATTCTACATGCTTCTACCCTCCTCTAAACCAAGAGGAAGATGTGGAAAACCAATCATTTGTAGATCATTTTCCGAATAGGAAATCATTGGTTTTCCACATCTACAGTATGTTGTTTTGTTTGCTTTATATCCAATTAATCCCATACATCTAATTTAGAACACCTCCATTGTATAGTCCCAAATATGTGTAGATCCCTTACTAAACCATGGTTTCTGCGGGTGTTTAATACCAGGATGATGGGACTAACTAACATTAACCAACAAAACTGAGGTTACCTACCAACTTCGTTTTGGTGAATTTTACGGCAATATGTCATGGGAGAGTCTCCAAGCATCAAAGTTGTGGAGTATGACATATTGGTTTGAAGACAAACCTGTTTGCATCGTATTTCTTAGGATATCATGGGATAAACAAGACCAACAATACATCTGGCCTTGTCGTGGTATACCTCAAGTTGCTATTTGGATCAGGAAAATTCTACAGGGTAATAAACCATTTGATACGGCTACAGTTGTGGCTCAAAACTATGGAATACCATTTTGGACCCACAAGAGACAGGTCATTTTAAGGATTTGAAATGATCCATTTCTTTGGGTACATCATCTTCAGCCATTACATATATCACCAACAAACACATCTTACTTTATTCTGGAAGCACATAAATGGCTATCTGGTTGGTGGTATACCTACCCCTCTGAAAAATATGACTTCGTCAGTTGGGATTACTATTGCCAACTGAATGGAAAGTCGTAAAATTCATGTTCCAAACCACCAACCAGCTATAGTCAGTGGTTGAACATGTGCCATGATTCAACTGTTACAGCCACGTGTTGAAAAAGTCGATGCGTTGAGCCTCCCAGATCCCTACCTCCACCAGGTCTGCGAAGACTTGTTTCCCAGCACGACCGCTGGAGGTCGAACCGCCCTTGCCATGGCGAAATCCGTGGAACAGGGACATCATCCATGGAATGAGGGATTTCAATGGATGTCATGGGAAAATCTTGGGAATTATCTTGGGAAAATATGGGAACATGCCCTACACTTGGGCTTTTGATTGGAGGCCAGCAAGCTTTTTATTGGGACTTCACCAATTTCACATATCTTCCATGTCATTCCACGGTCATTTCTTCGAGGTCCTATAACTGGTACCCTCTGGTAAACTAACAGTTTGCTATGGTATAGATGGCCCATAGAAATAGATTGCTTACCTATTTAAAATGGTGATTTTCCATAGCTATATGTTATATTACCAGAGGGTACACCCAAAAGACTTGACCTGATCCCTACCCCACCTCTTGCTCCGCCTTCTTCTGATCCTGGCAGCTGACAATCTGAGGATCTGGTTGTCGACCCCAAACCCTAACATCGAATTCGAACTGAGCGGCACATGGATTTGTCAATCCCCCAAAAATAGGGGTTTATGATGAAAGGGCTTGACATATCCCCATCTTGTTCTTTCCATGGGACTTTGGGTAATTGGATCTCCCGCGGCGATTTTTCACTTGAACGTTCACCAAAATTTGGTAAGCAGGTTGTAAACCAGATTGTAATTGAGCTAACCCCTACTTACTTCAGTCGTAAACAGGTATGTCACCCACATACGATTCGTAGCATGCATCACCAAATATGATGTTTGTTTCAAAAACAAATTGGAAACGTCTCTATCATGGTTGACTAACCGGGATTCCCATAGTGGATAAAACAAATCCTCAACATCCTTGGTAGTAATCATCAAACAACATTATCAACCAACCTGAAATTCTTGATTGTATTCCCACATGCTTGATAGCTAAAACCCTCAAACTGATGGCAAAATTCCTTCTAAACTGCTAAATAGATTATCTGCTATATATCTGAGTGGACTGTCCGACTTGTATGTATATATATATATATTAATATATAGACCATCTGGTTATTTAACATAGCCATGGGAAATCACCATTTTTAATAGGTAAACCATCTATTTCTATGAGCCATTTTTCCATGGCTATGTTAAATAACCAGATGGTATATATATATATATACATCACCCAGCTAGCGGTCCAAGCACCCAATCCCCACCGCAAAATGTCGCCGTCCTTCTCCTTCTGCTCCAGCTCTGCTTCCTTCGAGCCGTTGTGAAGAACGAAGAACGCCTGCCAATGAAATCATGGGGGAAATCATGACCATAGCCTCTGGTAAACTTAGAAAAAGCTATTGAACATGGCCATTTATAGTTGATTTAATCATCAAACATGGTGATTTTCCATAGTTATGTTTGTTATAACTGGTTGGTGGTGCAATAACCATCTTGAAAAAATATGAGTTTGTCAATGGGAAGGATGACATCCCATATATGAAATGGACAATAAAAAATGGTTGAAACCACCAACCAGATAAATATCTATCGAATCTAGACCCTCCAAGTCCATGCATAGCTGAATATCGGGGGTAACATACCCATTATATCATTGTTTTGGGACGACCCATTTCTCTGATTCCCAGCATATGGATGGGACATGATGGGACCAACCCTGAGACTGGTGTCATGGGATCTCCCTCACAAAGGAAGATCATGATGGGAAAGATTGGGATTACCCTCTGGTAAACGTTTACATAACTATGGAAAATCACCATTTTTAATAGGTAAACCATCTATAAATGAGCCATTTTCCATGGCTATGTAACAAATAACCAGAGGGTAAATCAATACGGAATCTCATCGACAGAAACAGAGGGAGTGTAGAAGCAGGAGCTGTGGCGGAGCTGTACCATCCATTACGGTAAAAATTGATGGCATTTGGGAACAACCTACGCCTGTTTTGCAGCAATTCCATCCCCTCTTGCTTAATTCCCCTACATAGTGTCAAAATGATTGGCCCCCGTACTAAATATGTTTTTTGTTTAAAAGTGTTTAAGGGGGCGGGCAATAGTAATCAGGGAGGAAGGTTTATTGTAAATATAATATTAACATATTGATTGAAATTAAAGTAGTTGGTTGCTGATAGATAGAATGAATCAAGTACCCAACAAACTGGGATGACTTTCCTTCCAAACATGGCAAGACCTAGGCACATAGCATTTTGCTTTTGCAAATATCGCCATTCGTCGCAAAAATCTGAGTATCAATAAAAACAACTTTATACCCATCCAAATTTGACAATAAATATCTCACTCTATGCCCCTTACATATGTATGCATGCCCCACTATATCCCTATGGTTTGATTTTATTCCATTTGCTGTAGTTAAATCACCAAAACTGCAAGGTTCTCATGGGAACATATAAGACACATCCGGATTCCGACCCCTGCCTCAATCAATGGTAGTAGCCTCGGCGTGCCGCGTGTTTCGTGTCATATACATAGACTACGGCAGTGAGATAAAATTGTAATTACAAACTAATACCGGCGTCGGTGAATGAATTGATTTGTTTGTTATATAAATTATGTGAACTCACTAATCAACTGCTTAATTGACATTAATTGACACTAATTGATGTTAATTGATGTTATTTGATGTTAATTGATGTTTATTGATGTTACTGTAATTGATGTTAATTGATGTTAATTGTTGTCAATTGGTTAGTACAGCAAAAAAGACTCAGACATGAAGAAACAAGCCTGTTTGAGTCTGTGAGAAGTAAATCATCAAATAGTCAGGTTTAAACAAATCCGCAATCCCCCACTTCTTTCGCCAGGTATATCTTCCTATTAGATCTGTTAGGGATATGTCCCTGCATCTTCCAGGGAATAAGGTCACATGAGCAGTGTTCAAAACCTGCAATGCTGTCCATTTACTCTCTGGTGAACTAACATAGCAATGGAAAATCACCATTTTTAATGGGAAAATCCACTATAAATAGCCATTTTCCATTGCTATGTTAGTTCACCAGAGGGTATACTGGTTAGCTAATAGACTTACCCATAATGGAGTAAGAAAATCCCACTGGATAGTATATCCCAAGAAAATCATCAACCCACCATCCGTTATCAACTGCAATCCCAGCGAAATCCCCATTAAATCCCAACAAAATCATGAATCAACAGGGGTTAAATCCCATAAAATCCCATAAAATCCCGTAAGCATCCCATATCATCCCTATTGTTATCTATCGTTCCAGCATGCTGTTCCATAAAAATCCTATAACACTCCATAAACACCATCAAATCAGGGTTTTCCATCCATTGCTCAACTGAGTTTCCCATGCCATTTCGCCAAGCGACCGATTTAACAGCGGCTTGGGCGGGGTGGTCTGAACGTTCGAGGCTAAGGCGCCACCTGGCGGTTTCCAAAATGATGGTGGTGATATTGAAATCTCAGAATCACGTAAAACTGCATTTCAAAATGGTCATATATATATATATACGGCAAATGCCTGGCTTCTGCCCGGACCCGCAACGACGACGGGCGACGCATCATCATCATAATCATCATCATCATCATCAATCAAATCCTTATTGAAGATCTTCAATGCATGTAGAAGTTGAACGGGGGTGGGAGAATTAAACCCTTATTGGAGATCTTCAATGAATGTCGAAGTTTAACGGGGGTGGGAGAATTAAACCCTTATTGAAGATCTTCAGTGAATGTAGAAGTTTAACGGGGGTGGGAGAATTAAACCCTTATTAAAGATCTTCTGTGAATGTAGAAGTTTCAGGGGGGTGGGAGAATTAAACCCTTATTGAAGATCTTCAATGAATGTAGAAGTTTAACGGGGGTGGGAGAATTAAACCCTTATTGAAGATCTTCAATGAATGTCGAAGTTTAACGGGAGTGGGAGAATTAAACCCTTATTGAAGATCTTCAATGAATGTAGAAGTTTAACGGGGGTGGGAGAATTAAACCCTTATTGAAGATCTTCAATGAATGTAGAAGTTTAACGGGGGTGGGAGAATTAAAACCTTATTGAAGATCTTCAATGAATGTAGAAGTTTAACGGGGGTGGGAGAATTAAACCCTTATTGAAGTTCTTCAATGAATGTAGAAGTTTAACGGGGGTGGGAGAATTAAACCCTTATTGAAGATCTTCAATGAATGTAGAAGTTTAACGGGGGTGGGAGAATTAAACCCTTATTGAAGATCTTCAATGAATGTAGAAGTTTAACGGGGGTGGGAGAATTAAACCCTTATTGAAGATCTTCAATGAATGTAGAAGTTTAACGGGGGTGGGAGAATTAAACCCTTATTGAAGATCTTCAATGAATGTAGAAGTTTAACGGGGGTGGGAGAATTAAACCCTTATTGAAGATCTTCAATGAATGTAGAAGTTTAACGGGGGTGGGAAAATTAAACCCTTATTGAAGATCTTCAATGAATGTAGAAGTTTAACGGGGGTGGGAGAATTAAACCCTTATTGAAGATCTTCAATGAATGTAAAGTTTAACGGGTGTGGGAGAATTAAACCCTTATTGAAGATCTTCAATGAATGTAGAAGTTTAACGGGGTGGGAGAATTAAACCCTTATTGAAGATCTTCAATGAATGTAGAAGTTTAACGGGGGTGGGAGAATTAAACCCTTATTGAAGATCTTCAATGAATGTAGAAGTTTAACGGGGGTGGGAGAATTAACCCTTATTGAAGATCTTCAATGAATGTAGAAGTTTAACGGGGGTGGGAGAATTAAACCCTTATTGAAGATCTTCAATGACTGTAGAAGTTTAACGGAGGTGGGACAATTAAACCCTTATTGAAGATCTTCAATGAATGTAGAAGTTTAACGGGGGTGGGACAATTAAACCCTTATTGAAGATCTTCAGTGAATGTAGAAGTTTAACGGCGGTGGTAGTTTTAATATTCCCTAATATCTTTGTTGATCTTCCCAATTGAATGTAAAGTTTAACGGGGGTTGGAGTTTAATATTCCCTAATACCGTTTTTGTTTTTCCCATAGGAATTTCGGGTGTTTTGACCCTTTTTTTAAATAGTCCCTAGTACCTTTGCTGTTTTTCCCATAGGAATTTAAGGTTTAATGGGGGTGGGAGCTTAACATTCCCTAATATCTTTGTTGATCTTCCTAATTGAATGTTAAGTTTCACGATTTGAGAGTTTAAAATTTCCTAGTACCTTTTCTGTTTTTCTCATAGAAATTTCAAATATTATGCTGTTTTTGTTTTTCCCATAGGAATTTCGGGTGTTTTGACCTTGTTTGTTTAATAGTCCCTAATACCTTTGTTATTTTTCCCAAAGGAATTACTGTAATTTGCAATATCATTTGTTTGTGAATTTTAGATATATACGCTGCAACGCCTGGGCAGAACCCAGGCGTTGCGCGCATATATATATAATATAATTATATGTAATTAACCTGCATGCATCAAATATATCATAATATTTCTTAAAATCCATAAATCATGGGGAGCACTGGTTCAGGGCCCTCTTATGGGCCTGTAATGTGCCGAATCCACCCTGCTTTTTTATACGCTTTACGTTCTCCGCAACCGGTTTGGGATGGAAACAGAGCAGCTAGGGCAATATCTTGCAACCACCCGCCAATTCCTCAGGATTGACATGGCATGACATGGCAAACAACACCACCAACCGCTCGAACAAGGATCGTTTTGTAGAGTTTTCTTCCCTTGCTTGAACACATGATATGATGGAGTTCTTGAAATAAAAACAGGTTCGCACAGAAAACCGGAGTATCAACTTCATTGGACCATTGGACCCACCACATGGATGTTCCAAACGTTCCAGATACATCGACCAAATCTGAGAGTCCGAGCTCATGTTCGCCCCCGCGCTTTCTACTCGAAGCTGCGATGGAGCCACCTGGGACTCCAGCAGCTCGGAGCAAAGATGAGGGATGTAAAAAAACAGAGAAACCAACTGAAGATCCTGTACCATGGCGAACCTTGAGTATTTCATAGCAGCTAACATTAGCTAACAGCTTAGCTAACCAAGTATTTTCGCATTGAGCCTTCCAGCCAAAAGCTTCACTCCAAGTGGAGCCACATGGAGCCACCATCCCCCACAAAATTGAGGAAGAAAATCGCGATGGCCTTCTTGAGGAACACATGAACACATGGCATATATGCCGTTTTCCCATCCCCGCGGTAGTACTGTTTGGTGATGTTTGGGATACGTATTCTGTTGAGTATGGGCAAGTTCACAATCTTCAATCAACCAGTTCAGTGTGTGTAACACCCTGAAAGCGAACCAATCCACAGGGGTATTTCTGATGGCTCACAGGCTCACACAAGTCTTGAGAGGACCTGCTTGCCCCTTTGCCGGGAACGACTTTGCCGTGGATTGATCTGCAGTTGAGTGGGTGCATAAAAACCATAGCTGTCCAGGGAAACCCACAGTAGTCTTAGGTTGCACATAGCCTATGCACTAATCACTAATCAGCAACTGAGCATCATGTCTTCGGTTACATTCTCATTTTCGTTGGTTGGAAGTTATAGAATGGTTGCCATCTCCCAAACTAACAGTTCGACCCTGAATTACCAATTCTAAGATGAAGGTCGTCTTCCAACGCCCAGCTCTTGGCAGGGTCGAACTGTCAAGTGGGAGGATGGTCAGCAACAAAGTCCGGAAACAACATACAGTATTTGGAAACAAATCTTAACCACCATTCTTAATGTTTATATAATACAACATATTTGGAATATATTTGGATATTTGGAAAATAACATCTTAACCACAATCTTTAAAGATATCCCCCCCAAAGATCTTCGCGAACCACCGGGTAAGACTGGGTTGGCCGGCTCCTGTGGACAGGATCCTTTGTGCAGGAGTGGCAAAGACCTGTGGGCGCTGACCATGGGAATGCCATGACGACGCAGCCATCACTGTGGCACCACTGTTTTTTGGGGACTACCCACCAGTAAACAAACAAAAGGCTAGGGAAACTCCATGATTACCCTATGGTTACGTTAGTTTGCTGGAGGGTATGTGGATCAATAATGATCAAATCAAGAGGTAATCTATCTTTATCTATGTAATTAAACACAAGCTTTTCATTGCGCTATGGGCCAGTGATTCATGTACCATTCATATGCTGCTTGGATTGCTTGTTCCACGGCCAGGACCAAAAAAAATCCGCAACACCCCAACGATGTCCATCTGAAATTTACCGCAACCGATGTTCCAGAATACGAAGATGCGCAATAGACTTGTTTGTATCATATATATATATATATGATGCACCTAGAAATATGAACTTCAGTTTTCCCGTGATTTTGCCCTTCAACCGATGCTGGGATATATGAAAAAGCCCTCTGGAAATTTGCAGCACTATAGCTGCTGAAAATCAGCATGTTCAAAAACAGCAAGTCATTCTTTCTTTCTTTCTCTCTTTCTGGGCGATTTGAAGCTCAGCTGCTCGCCAACGTGACACTTGGAATTCCGATGCAATCTTACATGGGCCTTTGCATGTCTCTGAGGCACAGACCTCGCGATAAATAAAAAATGAAAGTAAAACCAAACAGCAAGTCACTGCCCAAAGATATATTCATCTAGATTCCAAAAAACGATGTATATATATATATATATATTATATATTATATATATATATATTATATATATATATTGTATATATCCACCGTTTTCCGCATATGCTGCCGTTCTTGTACAATCAACAAGGCTCACCTTCCAGACATGTTTCCGGAGCCACGGGATCGCTAGCACCAGATGGATCCAGATGGTAATGGATCCAGTCATAACCTGGTGTTAATAAAAACCAGATGAATTTCATGAAACCTGGTCTTTTATTAACAGCAGTCAAAAATAGATTGGGACATTCAGAAGGAAATTGTTGTCATTTGCAAGGCAAGTTTGGTTCTCTTCATCTTTGGCTTTGCTGAGCTTTCGCATGACATCTGGCACCTGCACATGTAAAGCCTCTGCAAGCTGGATCAAACCTTCCCAGCGTTTCGAAACTTGCTTCTGTCCCAAAATTGAACTGACTGCTGGCCCTGCCCCTTTGATGATGCTGTCAATGAACTTGATGCACTGATGTCAGCACCTTGTGACATCAGGAATGTTCAAATCATGAGGATTGGCTGCATGAATGTGTCAACGTATCCACCACCAGTCACTTTTCCATATGTCATCATTGAACATCAATGAAGACGAAAAAATAAGCCATCCATTCCCAAAGCTATATTAAATCACTATTTCTAGAGGATCAGGATTAGCCCATATCTTTCCATAGAAACGCCTCCATTGATATTAGGGATTCTAAAAATCGCGATTCCCTACGAGGTGGTACCCTCATGAACAGCTATATCTACCATAGACCCTAATTGGATATTATAAACTAACTTAGCTATCATAATTGAGCCACACAAATTCTATGAATTCTCTGTTGTTGCTTAAATCACCAATTGTCCTATGCTTTTTCTAGGTGGCTCCCACTATGAGTTGCAACGACAACATGAGGCTCCCAGAGCCCAACCTCTGTGTCGTGCAAACGATCCAAGGTCTTGTCCTCAGAAGACACCAAGTGGCTCATGGGGATATGGTTTAATTATATAGTGGATATAGTGGATATAAATAAAGTGGATAAAGGATATGTGAAATTAACATAAATTAACTACTAATAGATAATACAACTTTTGAAACAGATTATGAGGTATGTTAGTGGAAAAGATGATTGGTTTAAAACCCATGGGTTGCATGAATAATGTAATACATACATATAACCCAAACATGGATGGGTTTGTTCATGGTTTAATTAATATCTACTGATATATCCACTGACATTTCACCAATTGTGTAAGAAGGTAATTTTGCTTAAAAGAACATACAACTTCCACAGGTCATAATCCTAAGTATACCTCCCACCTAGCCACTGGACCATAAACCTACCATGGTTAGTAACTACTTCACAAGGACTGGGGTGCACCCCCAAGTACCATTGGATATGAGGGAGGGAGAACGTCATGGGACGAGTTCAGCAGCTTTCTGTTTTGAGGGAATGATTCCCAATCATCATGGTGAACAAATAGAGGTTTCCTAAAATGAGGCTACCCCAAATGGTAAACAATTACACTTTGCGAACTTGAACATGGCCATTTACCGATCAACAAATTGTGATTTTCCATAGTTATGTAAACGGTTACCCCATTCTAGGAAACTTCCAAATGGCATTTAAGCAGCAAGCATCAACAATTGGGGTTTACAGTAACCAATGAATACAGTAATGGACATGGGGTTGTCCACAATGGGGTTGAACGGGGTATCCCTATAGATCCTATGGTTACAACAAGCCAAGCTTTCTGGAAATTGACTAGGTAACTCACAGTGGATCTCGGATTGAATCTGGGGAGCCAACCTGGAAAATTCCATGAGAATCATGGCGTGGCAAGCCACCGGGGGAAATCACAAAAACATGGGAAGGCGGGAAAACCATTTTTTTTGCAAGTGCCCAAGAAAGTCTACAGAAATTCAGGTCGGCATAAATCAAATAGACCTGATTTGTCGCACGAATTTAGATCTACATTTTAGACACAAAGTAGCACCCAAACAATGTTCAGAAAAGTGGACAACCCACACGAAAACACTAGGAAAGAAAGCCTTAGTTATATGTTTTTCAATTCTTTGGACATGCATCAGTGTTGATATCACTTGATATCATCAAATACTGTGGCCTCTTGCTATGCGGCCAGTTGTACCATCCTGTTTGATGAAACACACCAAGCCAATGAGACACTTGCAGTACAGTAAACCAATCTCTATGTTTGATTGTTCAGTCACCATGTTTCATGGTTGAATCACCATATTTCTTGATTAAGTCAGCATATTCACCACAATTTCATGCTTAGGTCACCATATTTGCCGTCTAGGTCACCATATTTGTCGCTTACCCTCTGGTAAACTAACATAGCTATTGAAAATGGCCATTTATAGTGAGTTTTCCCATGAAAAATGGTGATTTTCCATAGTTATGTTAGTTTACCAGAGGGTAACTCCCAGCATCACCTCACCCTTCCTGTAAAAAGAAAATCCCCCACGCTGACCCCCACGACGCATCCGTGGGCCCCCGGGCCAAAGAGCTCCAGAGGTCTTCCAGACGCGCTTCGTGCAGGAAATCTTCGATCTTTAGCTCCTGATTGAGGCTTTTTTGGGTGCTGGTGAAATACCCTCTGGTGAACTAACATAGCTATTGAAAATTGCCATTTCTGGTTGAATTACCCAAAAAAAATGGTGATTTTCCATAGCTATGTCAGCTATGTTAGTTTACCAGAGGGTACATGCAACTCAGGATGTATGTAGCTATCTGCCACTTGCATTGGTTTGGATATCCAACTTATGGCTTGGTTGTGATGTATACAAAACAACATAAAGTTGTATGTTCTAACATAGACCCGGGCAAGCCGGCGGCGGAAGTTTCCCAAACATAAATGACCTATAGTTCAAAGACAACCTGTCCCGACCGTGTCCTTCCCTCGACACTCCACACCTCACACTGCACACTGCACTCTTCGCACTCCAAACTTCAAACTTCACACTCCACACTTCTCACTCCACCTCTCCTTCTCACTGCCTTCCTTCATACACTCCAAAACTCACACTTCAACACGTACACCTGCATCACTTTGCACACTTCACAGTCCACACTTCAGACTTCACACTTCACAGTCCACACTTAACACTTCACACTTCGCAGTCCACACTTCACACTTCACACTCCACACTTCTCACTTCGCACTTCACACTTCACACTTCACACTCCACATTTCACACTTCTCACTTCTCACTGCTTCCTTCCGACTCCAAACTTCACACTCCAAACTTCACACTTCACACTTCTCACTTCGCACTTCACACTCCACACTTCACAGTCCACACTTCACACTTCTCACTTCTCACTGCTTCCTTCACACTCCAAACTTCACACTTCACACTTCACACTTCACACTCCACACTTCACAGTCCACACTTCACACTTCTCACTTCTCACTGCTTCCTTCCCACTCCAAACTTCACACTCCAAACTTCACACTTCACACTTCTCACTTCGCACTTCACACTCCACACTTCACGCACACTTCACACTTCACAGTCCACACTTCACACTTCTCACTGCTTCCTTCACACTCCACACCTCACACTTCACACTTCACACTTCACACTGCGCTCTTCGCACTCCACACTGCACAGTCCACACTTCACACTTCTCACTTCACACTTCTCTCTTCTCACTGCTTCCTTCACACTCCAAACTTCTCACTTCTCACTGCTTCCTTCACACTCCAAACTTCACAGTCCACACTTCACACTTCTCACTTCTCACTGCTTCCTTCCCACTCCAAACTTCACACTCCAAACTTCACACTTCACACTTCTCACTTCGCACTTCACACTCCATACTTCACTCACACTTCACACTTCACACTTCTCACTTCTCACTGCTTCCTTCACACTCCAAACCTCACACTTCACACTTCACACTGCGCTCTTCGCACTCCAAACTGAAACTTCACACTCCACACTTCACACTTCACAGTCCACACTTCACACTTCTCACTTCTCACTGCTTCCTTCACACTCCAAACCTCACACTTCACACTTCACACTGCGCTCTTCGCACTCCAAACTGAAACTTCACCCTCCACACTTCACACTTCTCACTTCCCACTGCTTCCTTCACACTTCACACTTCACACTGCACTCTTCACGCCCCACACTTCACACTGCTCTAAACGTACGTCCAACAAAAAAAACACTAGTGCCAAAATGGAGAAAATCTGCTAACAAACCCATTTCGCAGCCTTCATGCAGCCACTCCAATACGATTTCCGAGATCCAGCTGCAAAAGACAATAGTATTACGAATGCAGCCACAGCACGAAGCAACCTTGACGCAGCCATTACATTGCGATCTGCAGAGATTGAGTTCCAAAACGCAATAGAACTACGCGCAACGGCGTCGGAAATTGTAGCTCCAAAACCGGATCTCGATGCCAGAGCGAAAAAAAGACGATTTTG